AGTGTAGCAGAGTTACTGCACTAGTTGTCAAAAAAAGTATTTTAAGCATTGTGTATGTATGTCTTTATGTATGTACTGTTTGCGGGGGGTGCTTCATGCTGTAGTGGTTTTTTAAATCTGAAAAAAAGGGTCCCCACCACTTTTCTAACAAAGTGACGCACGTGGTCCTCACAAGTACGGCAGAACAAATGTGAGTGTTTGGGTAAGTGAGGGAGAGAGTGAGAGCGGAGAGGAAAAGCAGCAGGATGGGGAGCTCAGTGACAGACAGAGGGAGGGGGGGGACGGACACAGTGCTCTGTTGGACTCCAGCCTGGCTCTCCCTTTGAACCTGTGGATCCTGCTCCTACCTGGCCATGCCGTCCGGCCTGTGCAGGAAGTGGAGGAGCGCGGTGCGAGCGCTCAGGACTCTCCGCAGGACGGCAGCAGGAGGTGGAAGAGGCGCTGTGAGTCTGCTGTTATTTTTAGTCTCTCCTCCCTCCCAGGGCTAGGCTAATCCGCCGCGGCGCAGGCTAATCCAGATTGGAGGTAGGACACAGAGGCAGGGGGGTTAAGCACTTTCTCCTATGGGAAGCTGGTTGTGATGCCGTCTGAACCACTCCAACTGAGCCAGACGATGAACCAGGAGAGTCAGGGGTGTAGGAGCCACAGGGCAGGGGGGGCACACCTGTGGGGGGGGCTCCTCTGCTAGGCATGAGTCTGCAGTGGCTGCCGAGGGGCTGCTGCGCCGGCTACCCCAGATGGCAACGGTGCAAGACGGGCAAGATTGTGGTCTCAGATTGCTGCAGGGAAGGGGGAGGCGGCAGCAACGGTGGGGGGCCCAGGATCCAGCTGAGGGGGCTGGACACTGTACAGCTGAATGGCAGCCTGGTGGTCCTCTACGCACCTGCTGGGAACTCCTGTCTGCTCAGATTGGTGGGACATGCACGGATGGATGGATGAATGAGCAGAGTGTGCTGATGTGTTGTATCCTCCTAAAGGGTCAACTGTATGTATTCATTTGAATGTATTATAGTAGGTATAAGACATAAGGTTTCTAACAGGGTAAAGGTAGATACTGCTGGAATGTGCCAATGGAGCTGGAGATCTTTTATATTTAGAGTAGCTCATTTTACAGAGAACATGCACTGTTGTCAGTAAAGCTACTCATCTCTCTATAAAAATCTCCCTTTACTAGTTTGCTTAATTTGAAATGGCACAATGCGCATAGCAATTGACTTAATTTACAGAAAGTAACTACAAAAGAAAAAAAATGTGTCTCTAAAATTAATCAAATAACTATTATAAAAAAAAAAACGTATATCACAAAGCTGCCCGACAGGTCATACACTACCGTGTCTTTTGACCTTTCATTGTTCCAGGAAATTGCTTGAGCAGAGGCAGCTGATGAACATCTGATGTGTTGCTGAGTTGTGTGTGTGTGTGCGTGTGTGTGACAGATAGGCGGTAAGACAGCAGATGTTTGTGTGAAGAAGAGAAAAAGAGATGAACTTCAATGTCAGTGCCATGCATGTTTAAGTGCTTTGTTATTTGTCGTTCCTCATAAAGCCCGTTAGATGATACATAGATGAAAAGTTTGGAGTGATGGAAATGGAAGTACAAACTGCTGATTGGTAAACGTTATTGCCATGTGGCTCTGTGTTGGTTGTACCTGTGAGCATTGGTCATTTACACTGAAGGGGAAAAAGCCCTCTAATGGCTGCAGTAAATATGAGTGGAGCAAAGTTCAGGGCGGACAGGGGGGTCTTTCAGGTGTAAAACCACTATCATTTCATAAACTGAACCACATGTGTTTTTGTAACCAAGACAACAATTGTCTCCTATATCCTTAACAAAGCATCTCACAGAGCGGATTTATTTGTTAACAGTGGTTCAACAGGCACAGACTAATAATGTCAAACCTCACTGGAGTACAATAGAATGGAGTTAATTAAACACAAGTAAAAAAGTGTTGTGGCCATGTACACCGAAAAAAATAAACATTGACTTTAATTAAATGTATTATGGCAACACATTTTACATAACTGTATTAGGTTAGTTGAAAGCAATAATGTTAAATTGAACCTATTTTTTATTTAAACTTAATATTATTGCTTTTAACTAACCTAATACAGTTATGTGAAATCTGTAGACATAATACATTTAATTAAAGTCAACCTTGTGTGCAAACAGTGATTGTCTAATGTGTGTGTTTCAGGAGAGCGCTGGTCAAATTCAATGCCTTTTTTGAATAAGAGACTTAAATGTTTTTTAATTGAGGAGCCGTCATAATGATGCGAGAATGCCAGATTCTTATACTGACCATTTTTAAGGCACAATATTCAATGTATTAATAAGTCAATTATTTTCAATATCGGTTATTCTACAGATAATTTTCTAGCTCTCAAAGATGTCCTATCTGTCCTAAATGTTCATTTTAATATGATATTTAAAACAGAGAACATTTGAGAGGCTGAAAGCAGCATCTGACATTTCTGTATGAAAAATGACTTTTTCCGGTCTGAATGGAGATCACACGGAATGTTCACAACATCTTAAATACTTGTGTTTTTGTGTGTGTGTATGTTGCTTTTGTTGGTGTGTGTTGCATGTGTGTGTTGCGTGTCTTGCCTTAAATCACAGCAGTGTGAGGGAAGGGTTTTTGGTTAATTCTTTTTAAATGGAAGCAGAGCCGAGCTGCCCTCCATCACTCCCTCGGTGGATTAGAGTAATAATGCAGACGCTAAAATTAGAGCAGATTACACATAGTCAGTGGCTTGACCACAAATTTGACTTTAACATGGCAACCTTTTATCTTATTTGTGTAAAATGTACTATCTGATCATATCAATATTCCAACCCTCCTGTTATATTCGTTTTTTGTAACAGCAATAATATTCGTGGGTCAATTTGACCCAGTGCATGTTTAATTATCCAAAAATTGTCAGAAGCCCCAAAATCCATATTTTCTTTTGTACATAGTTTGTACCTTTTATTACTATCAATGAAATCAATATTTAGTGCAATTGTGTTATTCACCTCTCACAGATCATGGTTCCATTAGAATAAGTCACTCGTTTTTCACAAAACATATACATTCAAACACATTTTTCTATTTTCTTTTTTACATTGGAAAAACCTTGATATAAAATACATTAGTTTTGCATAACATAACATTTTTTAAATTACTTTTAAAATGTTCCAACTTTTTTTCCAATTGGTTGATGTTGATAAATAGAGACGAGACACCTCTTCTGTTCAGGGTCAAATTGACCCGTTCACTTAGAATCAAGCCAAATGAGTCATAACATAAGGATTGGTATTGAAAGTATTTTATTGTAACAGCAATTAAGAACGTGTGTGTGTATTCGAGTGGGGTAGTGTGTCCCCTTCTAGCCTCCACTTTCACTGCCAGGTGCGGGGTGTCTGTCTCTGTCTGTCTCTCTCTCTCTCTGTGGAAAATTACGATATATATACCGTATATCCCATTTGAGCCCTCTGACCCCTTCTAGCCTCCACTTTCACTGGATGTGTGTGTGTGTGTGTGTGTGTGTGTGTGTGTGTGTGTGTGTGTGTGTGTGTGTGTGTGTGTGTGTGTGTGTGTGTGTGTGTGTGGTGTGTGTGTGTGTGTGTGTGTGTGTGTGGTGTGTGTGTGTGTGTGTGTGTGTGGTGTGTGTGTGCTGTGTGTGTGTGTGTGTGTGTGTGTGTGTGTGTGTGTGCATATTTCTGATCCCTTTTAGCCTCCACTTGCACTGCCGGGTCAGATTGACCCGAATACCATCTCTGTGATATAGATATGCAGGGGGGGGGTTCCAAATGCATGACATGAACCATTTTCATTTTGCTTGTTTATTGCACTAATTAAGGTAAGGAGAAGAAGTTTCATACAAAAAAAATACTTGAAAGTATTTTTCGTAGATTTTCAAACGTTCAACGGGTCAATTTGACCCTGAATGTAACAGGAGGGTTAAAGCTACCCGAGTATAATTTTTTCAAAATGGTGGAACAAGCGTTTAATTGACATCAGGACGGCAAAAAGTCTACATATCTTCTGTCACTTACTGAAAACCAACCGGCCATTAAACCAAACACCAACAAACATTTTAGTATTTAAAGGGTTTTAGCTCAGTTGAAATACACCAGCACTAAAATTGTCTACATGTTTCCAGCTGTTCTGACTTCAATCTTTTTGGATTATTGCACTTGTTTTTTGTCGATATGGTTAAAATTGCAGCTAAATGAAATGTATTGTGGATCTTCTTCAGGAAAAATAAATAAAGATGGTTAGCGTACTCACGTACACAAAATGATAGGCTCTGTGATGAAGTGTGATCATCATCCCTGCATGGTTCATAAACACAATCATTCCAGGAGCGTACACCGTAGTTAATGCCTGTAAATATAAAATATTTGTGCAATTCAATTATTTGTATCCTTTTGATTAACTTTTCAATCTGTAGACACTATAATCTAATTGTATAATTGTATCTGCTCATTTCTTTTCAAACTATACTGCTACTTAGTAGTAGTTTACTGCTACATGGTTAGTTTTTAACCATGGTGTACTTTTCTGTTATTGTTTTTTTTTGTATTTAAAAAAGATTATATAATATGTAAGTCTACTCTTTCTAATTAATCTGCACTCTTGCTGTTATACTCTCGTAAGTTTCAAGTTGCGGGACAGATAAAGGAATTGTGATTCTGAGGATAGATGTAGAGGTTATGACAAAGTATTGAGAGAAACGCTTAAAAATCAAAATGTGATACAGGAGGAAAAAGAATCAGGTGTACTGAATAACAATGCGTGTGTGCTCTGCCCCACTGGTCTATATGTATTTACTGCACACAGAATTGCCTAATGTATATCTCTGTGTGTATAATCGAGTTGTGCCGTGGCTCAGAAAGCAGTTGAATTAGTTATTCTGTGAACATCATTTTGTTGCACCTGTTATTGACTTTATTCACAGAGCATTGTGTACCTGCTGTCTGCTCGGCTAACCCTGTGCTGTGTGTGTTCCCTGCAGAGCTCGGGGATGGAGGAGATGGTGTGGGAGCAGTACTCCGTGACTCTGCAGCGGGTGAGTTCATCCACTACACCTGGTCTCCAGCTTCCATTGTTGTAGTAGGAGATGTTGCATGAAATATAATGTTATGCAATGTAGTAGTAAAGGACTCAAAATGGGATCATTATGGTAATTCATGCTAAGAGCATATTGTGCAAACTAGGTGAAAAACAAGGCCTCACAAACAGTGGAATTAAGAGTGGCCACCTTTTAGAAGGTTCCGGTCAACTATTCTTCTCATTCTCTGAAGTTATATTATCGGGTACGAAGTTACGATGGGAAAATGGACAAAAGTAAAAACTCTCCTCTCACCTGCTAGAAAACTAACCAGGTCAAGAGTCGGTCAATGTAGATCAGGGAACACGGCCATGGACACGTGCACGGAAACATGTGCGAAAAAGAGTTACAACAAAGAATAGGGGAGTTGGTTTATCGTCCTTCACCTACTGTAGGTCAACCAATGAGAGACATGGAGGCTTTAGCTATAAAAATGCTAATACAACGTTTGTTTAGCAGTAGGATCCCGGGGTCTGCTCGGACTTTGTTTTCTGTCTTTGACGAAATAAAGTTATGTGCATCGTACTCAGTCTGCCTCCAGCGACTTGCTCTGAACCTATTAGACTTTTACTGCTACAAAATAAGTTAAAAAGTTATGAGTGTTGAGAAGGAGGTCCGGACTCTTTAACTGGCCCAGGCCAAGATCTCTTCCAACACCATCTATCTATACATCAACCTGCAGCCCCAACGATTACATTCAAACTGCCTCATTGGCATACAAAGACAATGTTTTTGAATCAGAATCGGGTTTATTGCCAGATAGGTTCACACGTACGAGGAATTTGACTAGGTGTCAATTGCGCAAAAATAAAAAACAAAGATTTAAAAAAGTACACGGATAGCGAACTATATTAAGAACACTGTAATAAAAATAAAAATATAGTAGATAGCAATAAAATAAGCAGTAATTTACATCGAAATAGAATGCAATAATTTATAATATAAAATATGTGCAGTAAGCAATATTTGAACATTGTGTGCATTAATGTAATGCATAGAGTCTGCGTTGTGGCTGAGGTAAAGTGTCAGTGGGGGGGCCGGGCCTTGTTTTAAGAGGCCGGTAGCAGAGGGGAAGAAACTGTTCAGGTGGCGAGAGGCTTTGCTCCTGATGGAGCGCAACCTCCTACCAGAGGGGAGGGGGGTGAACAGTTTGTGTCCAGGGTGGGAGGGGTCGGTCACTATCTTCCCTGCCCAAGCGTCAAGTCATGATGATATTAAAGATAAAGGTTGGCATCTAGACTTGAGAGATATGGCCAACATATACTATACATCCATAATGATATATATCATGATAAAGCATGTTTTCTGCTTAATAAATAATTGAAATACTTGACGAATAAAAATGATTTAATAATAATACAATTTCCAGATGTTTAAATCTTTAGTTAAGTAGAAATACAATAACTCATTGCACGTACAAATCCTGAATTGTATTATGTTAAAAGGGACTGTGTCTGTGAGTGTCTGATACATCAAGTGGTGTAAAAAGTAGGACATGTAGTGGAGTAAAGGTATCAAGTAGCATGAAATAGAAATTCTTAAGTAAATTACAAGCAAAGATGGAAGAAGTACTCAGATAGTCTACTCAGTTAGTAGAATTACCAGAGTGTAGGAATACTCTGTTACAAGTAAAACTCCTGCAATCGAAATGTTACTCAAGTAAAAGTACAAAAGTATTAGAGTCAAAATATACTTAAAGTACCAAAAGTAGTCATTCTGCAGATTGGTCCATTTCAGAATAATATATGATATGTTTTATAATTATTGATGCATTAAATTGTTATCAAAGCTGGTAAAGGTGCAGCTAGTTGTCATGACTTTTACAAATCTGTAAAGTAACTAAATATATTAAATAAATGTCGTGGAGTAAAAGTACACAGTATTTACTTCTGAATAGTAGTGGGGTAGAACCAGGGTAGAACCAGAACCGAAGTGCAAAGTAGCAAAAATGTAATTGCTCAAGTAAAGCACAAGTACCTCAAAATAGTACTTCAGTACAGTAAATGTCCTGCCCACCGCTGGTTTATACTGTACTGTATATTCTCAGTGGGTCAGTCCCAGTCAGTGTGCTGCGGTACAGTTGATGCCATGCCAACAGTGTCACTGCGCACTGCCTCCTCGGTGGAGATTAGCGGTGAGGTGAAGCAGGGACCGGCCACTGACAGCACTGAGGCGGGACACTTCAGCTCCAGCCTCCAGGCTGGGGCGGAGGGGAAAAGGAAACGTCTTCTATTCAGGTGACAGACTGAGCTGGTCCCTCCCTGCACATAGCTCACCTCCGTCTTGACGGCCGCTAGGAGCCCGCTGCTGCTGTGTACTAACCATAGACTGTAAATAAATGCTAACATGTAGCAGCTATCAGCTAGCGTTAGCATTACTCACCAAAAGCCCACGGAGGGACCAGCTACCTGCTAGCAACAGGTAACCTCCGCAGTGAGAGGGAGCCAACTTGTCAACATTAGTACACAGAGGACTCAGTATACTGTGTGATGGCTGCAAGTATGTAGGAACAGCTGCGTTACATAATTGCAACTTTAAGAAGAGCTATTTAAATGGGTCCGGAATTATGTGGGGTTACCATTTGTGACAGCTATGCCTATGCTACAATTACCCCTAGATTCCACCGGGTCCGTCTGCGCCGCGTCACGGCTGGGCCGCGGTTTTGGTCCGACCTCCTCCAGCGTCATAACCCACCGGGCGCGTTTCAGAAGCGGAGCGTCTTGCGTGCCGGCTCGCAGTTTTTGTTGATTTGGGCATATTTCCTGGACAGGCTACTTTGTGCAGACAAAGTTAATAATAATTGTAATATTCCATGAATCAAAGATGTGCTGCTGTATTTTAGTGGTAAAAAAATGCATTCATCATCATAATTATTCTATAATTTACACAGTGCCTGTAAACCGGAGGAGAACGCTGGCATTTCTCCTCCTACTTGAAAGACTACGGAGGGATAGGGTTTGCAAAATTTGTTTATTTTGGGGATTGACTGGATGCTCTGACCGGTCCACTTCCTGCCTGGCGCTACGCTATAGACTTGCATCCTATTTTTAGCGGAGCCCAGCGCCGAGACGCTTCTGGGACGCTTCTAGCCGTAACGCGGCGCGTCTGGTGGAATAGCACCCATTAACTAGAGTGGCCGCGATCGTTGTGAACACCGCGGCGCAGCCGTAACGCGGCCGTAACGCGCCGCAGACGGACCCGGTGGAATCTAGGGGTTACGCAGCGTCCACCCGGCGGCGTGTGTTGAAGCTTGCCGGTGGGCGTGTCTGAAACTCGACCAACAACCAATCACATGAATCTCCCGCCCGGACACACAAGCACGCGGTTTGATTGGCTAGAGCTTGTACTGGCATATTATTTGATTGGCTGACGCTTCCGTCGAAGCTTCAAAAGTAGAACATTGCTCTACTTTTGTCTAAGTGAATGGGCAGAAGCGTTGAAGTTTCAACGCACGCCGCCGTGTGGACAGGCCGGTTTATTTTTTAGCAATTCACAGAATTATATATATTTTTTGCTTTGATTTTCCATTTCCCATAACCCTCAAAGGCTTTATTGTCATATATGCACAGTAGCTAAAGTGTAGATATGGCAATGACAATCTTAAATCACAAGCTCCTCTAACAATGCAACATAATATATAAGACATAAAGAAAATGTAAAAATCAAATCAAAATAGTGCAAGAAGAAACAGAGTAGAATATAATAGTGCAGATTATGTTGCAAGACCAATGTGCAAGTAATTTTTTTAAATAAGCTAATTCCTGCAGAGAATGTTGTAAGTGACCAAGTTAATGCAGGAGTCTATACAGTATACATGTAAAGAGAAGATACATTATACAAGAAAATATATTTTCAACGTAAAATTAAATATTGTACATTGAAAAATGCATCTCCATAGTGTATACATAGTAGAGTGTACAGGGAGGTGTTATACTTACCCAACTGAAGTGCCATTACTCTTTGCATCTCATTCATCTTGGTAGAGACAACAGCATCATAAAATAAGGTTTGCACAAATGAAAGTCTGACATGAAATGAATTAACAGAATAAGATGTGTGTCTGCTCCATCAGCTTGGCCAGGGGTCAGCAAACTTTAATCAAAAGAGCCATTTTGACCCCCTTTCCAATACAATTGGTGTGGAGCCGCAAAACATATTCGATATCACAGCATATTACAAACTATAGTTTGTTTATCAAATTGTAGAACTACAACAGGGAAAGCTGTTGACATTTTATCGCTATGTTTACCTATTATTACTAAGGAAATAACTAAACTCTTGTGTAAAACATTAAACATAAAAAATAGTCCTGTCAAATTGAATTATGACTTAAATCCCTTGCAGTGTCCCATCTCTTCTGTTTTTTCCTCAGCCACGTACAGCAGTCAGCCGTATCTGCATAACAGCGCTGTCTGTTCAATATTGTTTACATTTCTGACTCTGTTGAGTGTGCTTGAGCTAATTTAATGTCCTCATTTGTTGCTGTTTTAATGATGCTTTCCTCTACCGTCTTTGCCGAGAGAGACGTAACTCTAATTTCTACTTTCAATTTGCTTTTTGAAGTCTGAAAATACATGCCGTGATATTTTAATGAATGATTTGTTCCTGTATTGTCCGACTGTAAACAGTTTTCCTAGCCTTACTATCTCCGGAGCAGTGACAAAGCTAGCAGCAGTGGTTGAGTTTAAATACTTGATCAACTTCCTAAAGATATATTTGCCCTTTTCAGCCTTCTGAAGGAGCTCCAAAATTGATCTTTTAAACTCTTTTCTGGAGTTATTTGTGATTAGTTTACCCCAGGGCGGGGGACGGAAACTCAGTATTTGCCACCTAAAGGAAAATACGCCGGGCCGTAGACAAAGTAGGATGTGACTGATATTAGTTGACAAAACCTTTTTATTTGAAAGCATCACCTCGAACTCATAGATAAGACACGTTCCTTTTAAAATAAGGATAATAATAATAATAATCAACAGTGCAACAAAACAAAGAAAGAAAAATAGCTGTTTTTTATGTCGATGTCAAGCTTGGATCAACTGAAGCATTGATATCTGGTATCTTAAAGGGGACCTATCATGCAAAATGCACTTTTGTACGTCTTTTATACATGAATATGTGTCCCCGGTGTTCCAGGGAACTCACCAAGTGTCAGAAAACACAACCCTCTCTATTTTCCTCCATACCCAAATCTCTAAAAAAGGGGCTGCAACGGATCTGATGAAAAACTAATCCAGATTTGAACACGTTACTGACGTCAGGACGGTGGCGCTACGGCTATTGGGCCAACTCTCCACCTATCAGGGGAATGTGGGGTTGGGCCCGTTCTTATTATACATCCATGGTTGGGCCACGGCCGGCCATTGCCGCTCGAAAGCGCTGGAGACGCTGTATTACATATGCCAGGCCTGTAAGTGGCGCTGTAGTCTGCCACAAAAGCAGCGAAGAAGACTTCCCGCCCATGTGGCTTTTTTTCTCCCTCCCCGAGGCAAGCGTTTGCTCCCGCTGCAATGCAATCCCTCCCCGTCGAGGCAAGCACTGTAATTCTCTCCGGTTAGTCCACCAGCAGATGACAAACACCCACCTCTCCGCCTCTTCCAAGGAACGAGGGGACCGTGCGGCAGAGTTTCAGTTTCAGTTTGTTTCGCCGGTCAAGATGTCCGTTAAAGTTTAAATCTTCCGGACAAAATTAGAAAAGTGCCGGTCAAAGGTCTTCTTTGTTATTTATTGAGCTTTAAAACAAATGAATAACGACTCTATATAATAAAACACGGAGGACGGAGATCTCTTTTTCTCCCCCTCTTCTGACAGCCCAGCAGCTGATCAGAGCACGTCTCCCCTCTCCTGCAGGGGGGCGTGGTCAGCAGAATCCGACCCGTAGACAGCAAACAGCACATAGAGCGAAATGAGGCATGGCTAAAATGCATGATCTGTTTGGTATTTTGAAAACAGAAATGTATAAATATACCTTATATAGGTATGGCCCTACAATATATCATTTAAATATAGCATGATAGGTCCACTTTAAATAATATACTGAGGAAACCATTATTCAGATCTCAATGAAACATTCATACGCATTTTACTCCTCAATTACATACCATTCAATGTGTTCATCCATGGAATACATTTACATCATCTCTTCTAGGCCAGATTTCTTCCGTGCACCTGAACACTCTCCTTAAAATAGAGTTGCCCTGATCATAGCTAACCCATCTTCATGAAATCCGTCAGTAGCATTTAATGGAAAAGCAACAAGGGCACCAAAGTGAGCTTAATGTAATGTGAAATAGCAAATGCAATTTTGTAATTACCAATTGTAAATGCTTTGAGAATCCAACTGCACTTAAACTATCCGATGTATTTGTGTCAGCGGATGTTATTCATGTACGTCTGCCATATGGAAACTACACATTTCTGTACAGCAGACTACTGCATGCGCCCATAGATACTTTGCACCGTGAGTTCTTATGGAGTTGTTTCATGCGGCTTTAGGAACGTGAACATCAGGTAAAAAATATATTCTTCATTACCAAGGTTGGAAATTAAATAAAAAAGTATAGTGAAACGTATTGTTGTCACCCTGCGGTCCAGACCTATTAATCCACACGAATCACAATACAATACGATTGTATGAAACTTTTCAAATAAATACTATTTTATTTGTTATAAATAAATGACTTTATTTGATCATTCTACAGTGAAAAAGTAACATTCATATTTCTCATTTTGATTATTATAGTGTTGAACGTTCAAAACAAAGCACTTTGGCAAGTTAGGGCATACGTTTTAAATTGCTGAATAAGCACCGTAACTTTCATGATTTGCATTTCTCGGTCACGATCGGTTGTTTCCGTGAACGGATGGATGTTGTGTCACAGTAAATGTTGCGACCACAAGGCATTACGGGACAGCATTTCGTAAAGGAAGGTCCAGTGTTTCCTAAGCTAAAGGAGGTTCTAAAGGAAGTTTCAAAGCTCCTTTCCTATCATCTAGATAATTCAAACGGCTCTTATCATGGCTGATACTGAGGTACTTCCGGGTCATTTCACTCCGTTAGGAACCTTCCTAAGCTAAACTGACAATTCGTACCGCTGCCTAGCTTTACCTACAGTAAGGGAAACACGATGGTCTGACTCTTGGTTGACACTTGAATAAAAAGTCAATGCTGACTCAAAGCATGAAACATGACCTGTTTATTTTTTCAATGTTTTACCTAAACCATGATCTGTATCCTAACTTCAGCGTGTCATGTGAGGCGCAGGAGGCTCAGAGCTTCAACCCTGTCTCCTCTCAGTCCAGAGGGTCAGTGTTGTTAGTGTGTATATCATTCTGTCTGAATGTACTGTGTGATTCCTTTTTCTGCAGGACACTAAGATGGGTTTCGGCATCGCGGTGTCAGGTGGGCGTGACAACCCCAACGTGGACAATGGTGAGACGTCCATCATCGTGTCAGACGTGCTGCAGGGGGGCCCAGCAGACGGATTACTCTTGTAAGTCTGAACAAGCTAGATGGACTACGGGGGCTGCTGTGTAGGGCAGCAAAGGGTCTGCTCTAGAGACTGGGCTTGGGAATCCAAGGGTCGCCGTTTTAAGTCCCGATCAGACCAAAAACCATGTGTATTTTGGGCCTATACCACCAAAGCGATCTTTATTGTAATGCTTCATATGTGTAGTTATGTAATCATCCAATATTAGCTAAAGAAAATATAAATACATTAGCCCACTAACGAAGCAGGAAGTGTATACCATTGATGCTGCTTGTAAATTGTGCAGCATCTGTAGCTGCTGACTCCCATCACATGGTCAGATCATCTGTCATCATCTCATCAAAGCTCAGTGCATTCTCTTCACATGTGCAGCCACCCTGTCTGATCATGCTATATCATATCATTGTAGTGAATATATTTTGTATTTCCTATAATTAGCAAGATATCTGCTCATGATATCTTGCTAAATATTATGATCTTCAAAGAGCTTGTGCTGCAGCAGCTCAGTTCTTATTTATTTCAGGAAATTAATTGAACATAAAGTCCAGAGATATTGGCTCAGACATTGGTCTCTGACTGACTCATAAATCAATCTAAATTTAATTTCAACTTTTTGGCACAAAGCAAGACTCTATTTTTGGTGAAACATTGTTGATGTGACATTCAGATTTTTATTTAGTTTTCATAGTTGTCTTATTATCATTTTATGTGTTTTCTTTTTGTTGTCCAGTGAGAATGATCGTGTCATTCAGGTCAACTCCATCCCCATGGACAACGTGCCTCATTCCTTCGCTGTGCAGTCCCTCCGTAAATGTGGTAAAGTGGCTAAAATAGTGAGTATGAACCACACACAAGGTCTATGCAGTCTCCTTCTGCAGAGTTGAAGAGGCCCTGTTCTGCTCTGTGGGGTTCTCCCTTTCCTCTAGTGGGTTTATATAGGTTCTGTGCATCTAAATGGTTAAAGTAAATGCAAATAAAGGCTAAAATCCCCAACTTCTCCCCAGAGGGAGTTTCCCTGCCACATCACACTTGTATCGCCTGCAGAGTTTCCATATATGTAAAATGAGCGTGTGTGCGTGTTTTCCTGCCTGACTGCCTCTTGTCTCGTGTTTCTGCTTCTCTAAAAGTAGCAGCAGTCCTCTCCCGTGTGTGCACTGGACTAATCTGGGTGCTGCATACAGCTAAATATAAAAGCCTGACATGTCGAGGGAATCTGATTTGCTGCTCTGAACAGCCACTTACACATCATGCAGCTGTATCTTCACTCCTGTCTGAGACACACTATCCACGTTTCCTATTTATGCTTTTCTCTCAGAGATAGTCTTTCGTGTTTTGAACAAACTACTACCAGATAAAGACTATCTTTATTCCTTTTTTTTTTTTTAAATAATACACATCTTCTTCAACATTTTTGTTTCTTTACGTGAGCTTCACAAATGTTCCATTAGTTTTATGTTGGGCTGGTTATGGTGATACAGTAAATGACTCAGCTCTTCAGTGAGCCAAGTATTTGTCGCCACAGCAACCCTAAAACACAAAGCTCGTCCTTGAGTTTGTTTGCTTCTAAATTAAATGGCCGTACCATCCTGGCTCCTGGATCTCCGTCTTTCACCCCTTAAATGATCCTGATGCACCTCACAGGTCCCATGCAGCTACCTGTGTCAGGACCTGTAGTATCGCGTAACGCTTGTGAAGGCATCTGTAAATGTGCTTTGCTTAGTTTGGCTTGCATGCTGGCTTTTGGCTATGTCTTTATTAGTCGAAACTTTCACTGGTATGCATTCTTCTGTGCTGTTTAAGGAGCTGGTAAAAATGTTTTTGTGTTGCCGTGTGATGTAGCAACCCAATGCAGCTGAGCTTAAAACCAGAGAACCGCCATACAACAGAGGTTGCGTTTTCTTTAGCAAACAGTAAGTTAGCGTCAGGTTAGAATCCATTTCCACTAGTCTCTGGCTCATCGTTTGACCGAACAGAGCACAGGCTTCTCTCCCCAAACAGAGACTGATTGGTCAGCTCGGCAGGATATGCGTACATAATGATTGTAGGAGCCATTTAGGCACATTATTTGATGGTAATGAATTATGATTTGGTGAGCCAATTGAATATTCTTTCATTTAACTTAAATGAGCTGAATAACTATGAATTATTATTATACTGTTTTTGTAACGTTTTATCTTGCTTATGGACAGCTCTAGTTTTATGTTTTGTTATTATTTATAGAAAGCAGATTGTAGTAGCGTGCTCAGGTATAAATGACGCTGCCAGCATGACACAGCAGGAAGTCTAGAGAGGAAGTTGGAAAAAGTTTTTGACCGCACACATCCGTACGACTGGGATTTGTTTGTTTATATGATTAAATACCGTGCAAAGGTTGCACGTCGGCATTGGGCCGCCAGCTGATCCATTGAACCTCCTAATAAAGCACTTGAATAGAACGAGCAAGGTATTTGGATTTCTTGAACATACGCGAGTCAATACTCGAATTCGCCTCCTAGACTAAGTGGCCTTTGAACATTCCTTTTTTGGACAATTGGCCACTACAATGATGTATGAAATGACATGCATTAAATCACAGCCTTTTGCTGTTATACAATTCCAGAGGCTCATATCGGACCCCACTATATATATATATATATATATATATATATATAGTTGGGCTGCACGATTAATTCAATCGCAATCCCGATATGAGCCTCTGGAATTGTATAACAGCAAAAGGCTGCGATATATACATATATAGTGATGTAAATCAGTGATTGCTGATCACAAATATGTTGTGATTGGTCAACCGCTTAGAGATGTCCCTCCCCTTAGTCTATTAGTAACAAGCACGATGGTTATAGTGATGTCGTTATGTTAAGGAAGTAAACAAAGGAATCCTATGAAGGTGTTTCAGGCAGGAGGGGAGTGTGTGGGAGAGAAACTCCCTCTGGAGGGAACACAGGGATGTTAGCCTTTGCAGAACATTGACATGTACTAAAACATATAGAACACACTACAGGGAAGGGAGAACCCAAAAAGCAGAACTCTAATAAATGTGGAGAATGGTGGTTGGTGTCAGTGAAGGGGTGTTTGGGCCTTTTTAATGTAATGTATTAAAGCATTTTTTTTCTTCCTTCTCTCTGTCAGACAGTGAAGAGACCCCGTAAGTCGGCAGTGCACTCACAGAAGCAGCCTCCCTCCCCAGGTGCAGAGAGTCGGGCGTACACCCCCTCCAATCACTACTACGACGCCGACAATGACAACAGCTGGTACCGCGACCAGGACCGTGAACACATCTCAGACAGCAAAGCATACCTGGACCCCGAGTACGGGGGGGGGCGGGACACCAACCAGAGAGGGAGGAGCCGTGGGCGGAGCCAGGAGAGGAGCTCCCCCAGCCCCGACAGACCAAGGAGGGACGGCAGCCGGGGGCGGGCCCTGGACAGCAGCGCAGACCGCCAGAGGTACCACAGCCGAGGACGCAGCCCCGGGGAGGGGTCCCGCACCGAGGACAAGAACGAGAGAGGAGAAGGAGGGGGAGGAAAAGGGGGGAGGTATAAGAGCAGGGACCGGCTCAATGACAACCCTCCATCCCCAGAACCTTCCAGAGAGCTGGAGCCGCTGGACAAACCCGTCAACGTGCTTCTGGTGAAGAACAGAGCCAGCGAGGGTAAGAGAGCAGAAGACCCCCCTGTTTAACAAAGGTCACATGACTGGATACACAGAAACCAGGGCTGCACAGTTCATCAGAGCAAAATACTTAGTAAGGGCAAAATATATACAAATATCTAAATAAAGTATTGTAGTGCTTCAGAGAAGTGCCGGAATACAAACTGCATTCTACAGACTTGTGAAAAATGTCTTCTTTGGTACCGATCCTCTTAACAAAACAACACAATTATCATTTAAAAAATATTATTCAAGGATATAGTGGAAAAAAAAGATAATCCCTGCTTATATCGCAAATCCTTTCGCAATTGCAATATCAGTCAAAATATTTGCAAATAGTTATTTTTTTCCAGATGATGCAGCCCCAAAAGAAACACAATCATTATAATTATGCTTTTTAAGATTTTCTCCATCGCCATTTTCAAACATACACTGTATTAAACAGAGCAAATCGTGTACTTTTACTGCACTACATGTATGTAATACCTTTAATTACTTTACATATCTGGATTAATGATGATGTGAAATATAATCAAGTGTTAAATCAGACTTTAGTTCCACCTGGAGTAAATTCACAAGCTACCCTGCAGTATACAAAGTCATTCAAACTAGCTGCACCTTTACCAGCTTTGAGATCAATCATTATAAAACATATCATATATATTATTCTGAAATGGACCAATCTGCACAATGACTACTTTTACTGTCGCTACTTTAACTATATTTTGATGATAATACTTTTCTACTTTTAGTTGAGTAACATTTTGAATGCAGGACTTTTACTGTAACAGAGTATTCCTACACTCTGGTACTTCTACTTTTACTCAGTACTTCGCCCACCTCTACATTATAACTAGGACTACACTTTGATTAGGTACTGTTCTGCTCAGATTGCTACAGAACAATAAGTGTATCACCTCATTATTTAATCATTTCTGTGGTTCTTTAACTTAAGTGAAGATACTGTAGCATACATCAAGAGTCCCTTTCTATTTCAGCATCACTAGTGTCTGTAACAGCAGCTCCTGGTGGAGGCGTGGAGGCTTAATTATCAAAGGAAAGGTTCCCTTAGCTCTTCTAACATTCACCCCTCACTAACCCAGCAGGGAATCAGCTGTGACACCCACTCGCTCAAAGTAGCTGGGTGTTACCTAGTTTGTAGTGTTTGCATATGCAGGTTTTTTTTATGGTGTAATATTGATTTAAATATTATTCCAAAACAGTTTGCATCTACAAAGTCTATTTATATTACAGGTTTAAGGTAATACAATTGTAATAATGCCACAGGGGGTAACAATGTTGCAGTATACATTTACAAAGTTATACTGAAACTACCCCACGATATTTAAACTAAGCAACATTTAAACTCCCATAACTGCTGCAAAACCAAAATGAAATAATTTTGAAAAACTACAAAAAATTGAGTTCTTGCTATTCAATACAGATTATATTTAGTAGTATCTAAAAGCAGAACAATCACAATTTTACTTCAAGGGGCTTACACAATACAAATCTTTCTGTTTTTAGTCTCTCGCTTCAAATAAGGATAGGGAAGTTTATTTATATAGCACATTTCAATACAATGCAACTCAAAGAGCTTTACAAAAAACATTTATAGCAATTCGATTTAATGCAACAGAAACACATTATGAAATGACATTTACATACATTTCCAAACACTCATTGAAAAGCCAAGAGAATACAAATTGAAAGAGGCTCTATTCTGCTTTTAGGGTGTTCTCTCTCGTGTGATGTGTTATACAGGTTTGTGTGCATGTAAATGGTCTGCAAAGTTTAAAATCCCTGTGTTCCCCCCAAAGGGAGTTTCTTTCCCACACAATCCCCCCCACTTCACACTTCTATTGGCTTGAGCTCCGACATGATATGATGATGATATGCTAAGGGGGGAACACATTTGTTTTTTATTGATTGTTTTTGCTAAACCTGGGGTAACCCTTGTGCTTCTATTGGCTAACGCTCCAAAACATTGTACGTGATAGGCTAAGGGGCAGTAGAGAAACGTAATATGAACCTGAAAATGAGCAGAATATGCAGTAACGTGTGTGTGTGTGTGTGTGTGTGTGTGTGTGTGTGTGTGTGTGTGTGTGTGTGTGTGTGTGTGTGTGTGTGTGTGTGTGTGTGTGTGTGTGTGTGTGTGTGTGTGTGTGTGTGTGTGTGTGTGTGTGTGTGTGTGTGTGTGTGTGTGTGTGTGTGTGTGTGTGTGTGTGTGTGTGTGTGTGGTGTGTGTGTGTGTGTGTGTGTGTGTGTGTGTGTGTGTGTGTGTGTGTGTGTGTGTGTGTGTGTGTGTGTGTGTGTGTGTGTGTGTGTGTGTGTGTGTGTGTGTGTGTGTGTGTGTGTGTGTGTGTGTGTGTGTAGAGTACGGGCTGCGCCTTGGGAGTCAGATCTTCATCAAACAGATGACCAGCACGGGCCTGGCTGCCAAAGACGGGAACCTGCAGGAGGGAGACATCATCCTGAAGGTGAACATGTGCACACACACAAACACTGGCTCTAATACAGGGTGGGTCATTTTTGGAAACGCCGCTGTTTGTAAATTGTTATATGAAGTGGTGGAACAGAATTATACTTAAAGGGGACCTATTATGCAAAATGCACTTTTTGATGTCTTTTATACATAAATATGTGTGTCAGGGAACTCACAAAGTGTCAGAAAACAACACCCTCTCTCTTTTCCTCCGTACCCACATCTCTAAAAAGAAAAGAAGCAAAAGGGGGTGCTAACAAGCAGATCCAGAATTTTCGCTCCTATAATGTCATTGGCGACATCCGGCCGACGAGACACGTCCCAACCTATCGTCTCCGGCACACGTGACACGTCCCAACCTATCGTCTCCGGCACACGTGACACGTCCCAACCTATCGTCTCCGGCACACGTGACACGTCCCAACCTATCGTCTCCGGCACACGTGACACGTCCCAACCTATCGTCTCCGGCACACGTGACACGTCCCAACCTATCGTCTCCGGCACACGTGACACGTCCCAACCTATCGTCTCCGGCACACGTGACACGTCCCGACATATCGTCTCCGTATACAGTCGCAGCTGTGTGTCTGTGTATTCAGCAGGATGTCTTCTGGAGGCACTAAGAGTAAAGTTGTTATATATATAATACATATAATGGCACTGTTCTAGCGGTAAACACTTAAGAAAGAACATGTCAAGCTATGTGCTGTATCAGAAACAATGCGCGGCGTGTTTTGGGAGTAATATGCTCTGTGTTTACATTAGCAAGCATGCTAACACTCAGGGCTAACCATGGAGCTAACGCTGTAGGCTACTGGAGAGAATATGTGTAACGTAATGTCCTTGTGGTAAACCCTGCGAGAGAGAAAGGTTTGAGTTAGTGACGGCAGTTTGACACGGAAGCTTCGATACGTGCTTCAAATTCTGGTTTTCCTATTCCATAGAAGCAGTGCTTCGAAGCTTGCTTCAAATCACGTGACATATGACGTCCGAAGCAGCAACTGCTTCGTTTCCTGAATGAATCAACTCACTGGTTCGCCGTCCAATCAGGTGATTCAATGCACTGCCTCGTCTCGATTCTGACAGGTGACAGGTTGAAACAGTTTCAAATTTGAGCGCTTCAACACTTTATGACCGCTCTAAACAATGCGCAATGTGTGGGTTGTTGTCGTAGTTTGCATTGTTGCTGTTGAGTTGTTGTTGGTATTGCATTTGTATTGGATCATTATAGAGCAAGCCAGGACGAAAGATAGGTCGTTCTGGCTCGGGAAACACTTCAAAATGTGGAGAAGTTGTGAACAAAAAGACAATTATGAGTATTAAAAGAACAGTTTAAAGAATAGATAGCCCAGTGGATAGAGCCGGCAGCCCGCATGCGGGGACGTCCTCCGTGCAACTGGTTCGAATCCTGGAATGTAATCATTGCCCGCTTTTCAACTTTAATACTATAACTGATAAAAGGACCTCTCCGGCCAAAAAAATGCCTTTAGAAAAATACAAAATAAAAAGAATAATGTAGGCTACCTCAATAAAGATATTTGAGTGTTCCCCATCCCACATAATCAGCCCCTGCCATAATTACACAAGCACACTCAACCAATGCCACATTTTCCAGCACTCTCTAGTCTCTTCTCAATAACCCAATACACACAATTATCAATCTTTAATTGCAAATAGAACATGATATTCAGTCTTAGTGTGTGTGTGTGCATCGAATATTTTTCAAGGCAAAGATACGTTAAACCCACTGCAGCCTTGCACTTCGCCAGGAGAGGTCGCTGTAACTGAAGCTTCGAGAAATGAACCTATTTTTGAAACAATTGTCCAAGTGCTTCGATGCTTCATTCAAAGCTTCATTTGTCCATCACTAGTTTGAGCTCCATACTGTTTCAGAAATAATGCTTGAAGTGGTTGGGAGCATAATATGGCATTTAATCACCGCAGCGTTTAGCTGAGCTTCTCCCAGTAGAAAACTCTCTTAGCAGGGGAAAGGTGCGTGACGCTACAAAGGGGCGTGGCTAGCAGCAGCCGTTCCATTTAAAGCAGAATCAGCCTGTTTGGAACAGGGCTGCAATAGAGGGGTATGAGCAGTATGAGGCATGGCTACAATGGGTGATCTGTTTGGTATTTTAGGCAAAAAACTTCACAGACATGTTTTGTATAGGTATGGCCCTACAATATATTTTTCAAATATAGCATAATAGGTCCACTTTAAGTACAATTTTCATCTTATTTGTATTTTATGTGTGTATTTGAATTTAATGCTGTGTGTGTGTGTGTAGATTAACGGGACGGTGACGGAGAACCTCTCACTGCACGATGCGGGGAAGCTGATAGAGAAGTCGAGGGGGAAGCTGCAGCTGGTGGTGCAGAGAGACAGCCGTCAGATCCTCGTCCGCATCCCCCCCCTCGCAGACTCTGACTCTGATAACGACGGTGAGTCCCTGAATGCATGTCAGTGTTATTGGTTTAGATGCGTATACACTGCAGTCGTACGTACTGGTGGCTAACCCTAACTATTTTTAAATTCAGCGATCCGCAGAGGCATTCCAGTGTCCGAAATGTTCCAATAGAGTGGTGCAGGGATGAGTCCTAAACATGGATATGAGTCAGCATTTCACCTCTTGCTGGTTCCTCGTCTCGAAGTCAGCCTATAATAATACGTCATCCCTGCACCACTCTATTAAATCTATTAGTGTGATAACAATCTGAAACGTTGTATTACTCAGCTGATAATATTCATGGACGACTGTCAGTTAACTCATTGTGTTACTCGACCAACCTTTGAAGCTCATCTCGGGTGTCTAATGCTGAGGTTGAAGTAAGAGACGATGGTTTAGGTTAAAGGGTCGACATGCTGCGTTGAGCTTTATCACTCATAGGATAAAACATGTTTTAAAGTAACACACTTGCTCCAAGCTGCGGAGGTTAAAGTGTGTCAAAAGAATAATATTTATCTTTTTCTATTTTCATTAATAAATATATGTCTTTATTGAAACAGTTTATTCAGCGTTTAGTTACATCTAAGTAATTAAAGGGGACCTATCATGCAAAATGCACTTTTGTACGTCTTGTCTACATGAATATGTGTCCCCGGTGTTCCAGGGAACTCACCAAGTGTCAGAAAACACAACCCTCTCTATTTTCCTCCATACCCAAATCTCTAAAAAAGGGGCTGCAACGGATCTGATAAAAACTGATCCAGATTTGAACACTGTCCTGACGTCAGGACAGTGGCACTACGGCTATTGGGCCAACTCCACCAATCAGGAGGAGACAGCCATTGCCATTCGAAAGCGCTGGAGACGCTGTAGTACATATGCCAGGCCTGTAGATGGTGCTGTTCTCACAGAATCTGCCCTTGCAAAAACAGAGCTAAAAATGTTCAAATTGAGCGAAATGAGGCATGGCTAAAATGCATGATCTGTTTGGTATTTTGAAAAAAAAAAAAGTATAAATATGCCTTATATAGGTATGGTCCTACACTATATTATTATAATATAGCATGATAGGTCCACTTTAAATTAAGTCCAATGACAATTCAAAGTATATTGTGAAAGATTCTAAAAATAAATGAAATAATTCAGATTTGTGTGCATGTAAATGTTCTGCAAAGACTACATTCGTAAAGTTTCCTTCAGAGGTAGTTACTACTGCTGTAGAACACAGAGATACATTATAAAAACACAAAAATTAAGTTATATTTAAATGCCTTGTAAAATCACAAATGAAATGTTTCCATGACAACTAAGAATAAAGGGGGGGGGGGGGGGGGGGAAGGAGAGAGGCTCCAGCTCTTTAGATTCTGAACTGATCCTATTCATTTTGCTCATCTTGACAAGCTGAAGCGATGCCTGTAATCGCTCAAAAGTGCAATCTCTCTCTGTGTTTTCTCTTCCAGATAATATGTCATTCTTTTAGATGAAGGACCCCCCTCCCCCCGAGACACAGCATGTGTAACCCTGTTGCCTTTCTCTAAGCTGTAAAACGGCTGTGACACAACCTGACTAAGTTGTAAAGCTTTCACACCTTTTGCACTACTCTTTATACTGCTCAAAATCTCTTAACTTTTTAATACGTGATTCAATTTTTCCTGAATAAATAAACATATTAAATCACTATTTACTCTGAATTGTGTGATTAATTAAGTATAGAGTGGAAGAGGTCAGTGCGCTGCCTTCAGGTGAATGTGCTCTCATATTATCTGAATAATGGTGCTACACACAAAGAGTGATGATGACAACAGAAGGTTGCATGACAAAGCGTGGCTCGTACAGTGGGTAAGATGCTTGTTGAGTTTTCAGTGTGATAACATATTAATCATTCGTCCTAACAGTGTAGCGACTCGCCGCCGTCTGTCCAGGTGATCTGAAGTCTCCTCTCCTGCTGTTCCACACACATTCATATGCTAGCTCAGGTCTCACTGCCCCCCCCCAACCTGCAGCCTGGAGAGAGTCAGGCTGCTCTGTGTGTGTTGGTATCACCGAACTTTGAGTGAAACTTTTCTGGGGTAGTTGCTTTCTTCTTCCCGACAATGGTAGATTTTCACACTCGCACTTCTATTGGCTAGCGCGCCAACATTGTAAGTGATAGGCTAACGGACAGGACATCTCTAAACTGTTGACCAATCAGAGCAGACCATTTTTTATATAAGTATTTATTTTCAATGTGGCGGACCCATTAGGCTCTTGACTCCTTTCCACACCAGAATCGTTCTTTTTGTCTCCACCGTCAGGTTTCCATCCCCACCCATTTCCCCACACGTTACAGAAATCCCCAGTTGGCTGTTTGTGCTGCATTGTCCACGGATTAATACACAAAACAAGATTAGAAGTGAAAAGCTTCAGCAGCAGCTAAAATCTTCATTACACCCAACGATAAAAAAAAGTGGTTTACCTTTCTTAATCCTACATTTGTGAGGCTCTTAGGGGTCATTGAGCCATTACCAAGAAAAGGGTTCATCCTCTGAGGAACATGAATGGACTGAGCAAAAAGCACAGCAGACTGTCATTAGATGTAGATTCAAATTGTTTATATTGTAAGAATTATTCTTTTTTATCCTTAATAGCAGTGAAAAGGTTAGCTTGAACTTTTTTTAAACTCATACAGGGTTAACAAAATACAAACATTACAAAATACAATAGATTTTGCTTTAATTTGAAAGAGAAGGAAAACACTGCATACAATAAGGTTTTAAATATAATGTGTGCTCAAGTATTGCTTATAGCCCTGCTACAAGTTTGATCTTTAATATTAAAGAGGGCAATATAGCTTGCCGAAAGTGGTTTAGAACTGAGCAAAAAATGAATTCACCTCTACAAACGGACAAGAAAGAAACTCGGTATTGATCAGTTCTTTGTGATGGAGTCTTCCACATCAACACACTGTCCAAAGGTGCTGTTGTGACATAAATCTGAATGACTGATGCTGTTTCTGACACATTTGGTCGACACTTCACTTCACTTCCATATCAGGTTTGACACGTTATCCTCACATTGATCTTTCTCTTTCTGTCTGTCTTCCTTTCAGCCTGCATGCAGAATGACTCTAACCCTAATCAAACTAATCCACACGCTCTAGATCGCACCTGTGCCAGACTCCATGTGAAAAATAATCTGCTTTCTGTCTGCTGATTTAACACGGCATATTGTTTCAGAGGGACCTTTACTTTCACTTTTCTGTTTGCTCCCATGTGTGTGGTTCTTCTGTTTCTGTTCTTGGTGTCCCGGCCCCCGTCAAAGCTCCCTCCCTGCTTTCGGAGCCATGCTGAGTGCCACACTGACGGATAAAAGCAGCCAAATCAAACACTCTGCCACACATGTTCACTTCAAATGGGACTGAATGAAAGCAGAGTGCTCTCTTTGGAGCGCAGGGCTGTGCGTCAGCAGCTGTTTCTGTTCAGTGTGAGCCTCCCTTGTATTGGTGATGTAGAAGTTGCCTCAGATCCTTGATTTGGATTTCTCGAAAGTGTCTGAACATGAATTCGCCTCTCTGTATCTCTTTAAAGTTGCACTCCAATTTGATATTACTTACTGTATGACAAACAGTTTTTCTGTACGGCATCCCTAGTGGTCTTTAATTTGAACCGAGCTGTGGGCCCTGCCCTTTTAAAATACACCAGTACCACCAACTTTATATCAACTGCATCAATCGAGGCTATAGCTAATCATCATCTATTTATAGGGAAGCTGATATGAATGGAAACCAATGGCTACCATCTTTAAGTAGGAACATTCCCTAAACCAGAACAATATGCTGTTCTTTTGAGTATTTCTGATGGTTTCAGTGTGTTAGAGTAATGGCTGCTTTTATGGGGCTGTGTCACCATGAGTGTGTCCTTGTAATTTTGACCTCTCTGACAATGTCCTCACTCTGTCCCGGGCCATAATAAGCTGGTGTTGGTGCTTCCGGAGGCAACCATTATCTACTGCTGGTGCTGGTGGTGGTGCACAGTTTGGACAGGAGGATGTAGTCTGTGTTTAACTGTCTGTCTGTCCGTCTGTCCGTCCGTCAGACATATCAGAGATGGAGTCATACCATTCCTATTCCCCTCCAGAGGAGAGGAGGTCCCGCCAGTCTGACCTGTCCTCCCACTCTTCTAATGAAAGAGACAACCCCAGGTAGGATGATGAGAGGACTTCCTGTTTGGTGATGTAGACATGTGACCTGATGTGGATGTGCCATGGACGATATCCACTCCAGACTTGTGTCCTACTTTGTTTGGCATGCAATATAAATGTGACTTTCCTTAAAAGACTTTAAAACCTGTGATGGACACTAGTTAAAGGGCCCCTTCTGTGTTTTTCGGGGTATTCCCGTATTTCCTTGCCTGAAACACCTCCATTGGACTGTTTATAATGACATCACTATGTAACACTCACACTTCTATTGGCTAGAGCTCCAGCGCATTGTACGTGATTGCTAAGGGGCGGGACATCTCTTAGCGGTTGACCAATCACAACAGAGCCGGTCAGCTAACCAATCAGAGCAGACTGGGCTCTGGTTTCAGACAGAGGGTGAAAAGAGGTGCTGCAGCACAGGCAGTATGAGAAACATAAAGAGCTTTTTGAACCTTAAAGCATGGAGACATGTCCCAGTAGAGACACTACATACTGATATGAAGCTGAAGATGAGCAGAAGATATAGAGACAAATATGTCCTCATTTAACGTTACCATTGTGTCTTACTGTTATCTTGTCAACAAGCTTATTTAGTTTCCGTCTTTAATCGGCTGTGACACCTAGCAGTCTCTCATCCCGTGTGTCTGTGTGTGTTACCTTGAAACGAACAGGGAAGAACCCATGAAGACAGCCAAGATGTCCGCCATGGCCTCCCCCTTCAGAGTCCCTGAAGACCCCCATGCCTCCACAGAGCTGAACAGAGAGTCGGGGCACCAAGAGCAGCCTCCAGGTCATCACCACCCAGCAACATCAAAACACACGCAGTGACAATGACACACTAGAATCACTATAATGAATGACTAAAAGCTGATTCCACTGAATATAAAACATCCCCTTGTTTTGGGACTGTTTGAATTGTTTATCATAAACAGTATTCATTTATTCATCCCGACAGCGGGGATATTTGAAGTGTTACAGCAAAGGGACAGTGAAGATAAAATACTAAGTAGGCTAACTTATTAAATGAAGAGGGAAGCACACGTTAATAAAATAAGTATATAGTATAACTCACAGTTAAGAACACCATTTAAGTATCTGACGTACGTGAACTATGCGGTGACTGAGGTAGTATCCAGCAATAATATTAATAAACTGAACATGAGCTCAACAGTTTTTTATTAATAGTTATAGGCTGTTTTATTGTACACCATTGACAATAATGTCTTTATTGGTGGTCTACTGGGTGCCGTGGTGACTGAACAGTGACTATTTATATACCTGTTTACCATTTTTTTGTTCTCAAAACTGCTTCAATTTGTTATTTTTTTGAACAAGCTTTAAACACAACCTCTGACATATTTTCATCTTGGCAAGTTTGATATGTGCTAACTAACAAATTGCAAAAATTACACATTCACAAAACTAAACTCAAGTTTAAATAAAAAATATTAGGTTAAACTAAATATTGTTGGTTTCAACTAACCTAATACAGTTATGTGAAATTTGTTGACACGATACATTTAATTAAAGTCAACGTTTCAGTTATTTTCTACAATATATTGAAATCCAATGGAAAAATCCCATTGCTCGTTCGTAGAGAGCCCTTGTAAAGCTAACTTCTGGGTCGTCCTGCAAACATAGGATCCCACTGCACCACTCTATAGTGTAGTAATAGTAAATAGTAAAGGTATAGTAGTTATATTTTATACTTAATTATCAATTCAGCTTTTATGCATTGACTTTTACTGACAGGTCATGTTTGTAGCATTGCAGATGCTTACACCTGATTTCTTTATCTTTAGTTGCCATAACAACCACACCAAAGATTCTCCTCCGACCAAGTCCAGAAGATGAAAAAATATATGGGTGAGTTTTTCTTTTTTCTCTATGATTGGCAGGGTTTAGGTACCTTAGACTGACTTCAGATGCATCCATGAGCTTCGTAGGTTAGTTGGTGTTTTCATGGAAATATACTGTATGATTTCCTGTCGTAATGCTACAAGTTTAAATGTTTGAATAAAACTATTTTCACCTCTGCTTTGCAATGATATGTTAGTAAACCTGGCTCATATCGTAAACAGCAGTGGTGTAAAGTAATTAAGTAAATGTACTCAAGTACTGTACTTAAGTAAAATGTTAAGGTACTTGTACTTTACTTATTACGTATTTCAATTGTTTGATACCTTTTACTTCTACCCCACTACAATTCAGAGGTAAAAAGTGTACTTTTATTCCACTACATGTATTTAATACCTTTAGTTACTTTACAGATCTGGATGAATGATGTGAGATATAATCAAGTGTTAAATCAGGCTTTAGTTCCACCTGGAGTAAATTCACAAGCTACCCTGCAGTATACAAAGTCATTCAAACTAGCTGCACCTTTACCAGCTTTGAGAACACTTTCATGATCAATCATTATAAAACATATCATATATATTATTCTGAAATGGACCAATCTGCACAATCACTACTTTTACTGTCGCTACTTTAACTATATTTTGATGATAATACTTTTCTACTTTTACTTGAGTATCATTTTGAATGCAGGACTTTTACTGTAACAGAGTATTCCTACTCTCTGGTACTTCTACTTTGTTGTTAATCACAAGATCTGAGTACTTCTCCCTCCTCTGGTAAACAGCAGAATGTGTGTTCTCTGCAGGCCCAACACGGTGATGGTGAATTTCCAGAAGGGGGACAGTGTGGGGCTGAGGCTGGCAGGAGGAAATGATGTGGGCATCTTCATCGCCAGTGTTCAAGAGGGCAGTCCTGCCGAGAAGGAGGGTCTGCACATAGGGGACCAAATCCTAAAGGTAAGCAGTTCAGAAACACCAACATCCATTTCATAAACAGCAATACTTTCAAATCAGCCATAGTTCAAATTACAATGGCATTTTATGAACAGCAAGCTATTCTTGTTTCCTTTGTTTGTGTCTTGAAGGTGAACAATGTGGATTTTCAAGGAGTAGTGAGAGAGGAAGCCGTGCTCTTCCTCTTGGAGATTCCTAAAGGGGAAATGGTCACCATCCTGGCTCAGAGCAAACCTGACGGTAACACACTCCCTCCACTGACAGCAGCAAAAACACTTACATTTATTACACTGATAACATAGTTTGAGTTTGGCGTCTAGGCTCGGGCCTTATCACTCCACAGATTTACAAAGAACATTGAATGATGATTAGATAACTATCCCCCGAGCCTACAGGTGGAAGCTGGGGTGGAAGCTGGGGTGGTGGGGGGGGCAGGCGAGCAGCAGCAACATGAAACACAGCAGCAGGAACATGAACATGAACGTAGCAATAGCAAGTGAACACAGCAGTGCAGCAGCAGCATGAGCGAGGCAGAGGCAGGAAGACCTGGCAGCTTAAATAGAGCGGCATGTTTAGGAGAATGTGTTTGGTTGGTTGTAAGAGGGACGAGGCGCGTCACGTGTTAATGTATCATTGGTGCTCGAGTTGACTGCCTGAACTAGCTCGCAGGCTTCGCCCCATTTATTGCAACTTTTCTTTGTCTATAAAAGGAACAGTCTAGTGCCATCATCAGGTAATAATTAAAATCTTTAACAACACATAAACTCAAACACAAAAGGCTCTTTTTAAAAAGAAAATTGTAATACTGCTAGTAATTCTCACTTTTTAGAAATATAGCAGTATTTTGATGGCGTCTTTTTTGTAACTGTAAAAGAATAAAGTCAAGATGAAATCAATGAAATGCAATCTCAAATGAATCACACTTATGTATCTGTTGTAAATGAACCCCTAAAGGTCCTAATTGCTTTACAGAAAATGCATGTTTATTATTATTGAAGCAATCCAAAATGAGGCACTAGGGTATTTTCTTTTTTATGCGCTTTTATACTTCCACTCTACTGCATGTATCTGACAGCTTTAGTTACTTACAGATTTAGATCATAAGCTAATGAATATAAATCAAGGAATACATATGAAATGATGGGTTAAGATATCCAGCAGCAGTAGGATATACAAAAGTAATTAAAATCAGCTCCACCTTAACGAACACATGCATCAATAATCATAATCCAGTAACTTAATAAACAGCATTCTGAAAAGTGCCATTACGCATTACAAATACTTTTCCTTCTTCCACCATTGGCTATCGATGTTGAAAGTTTAATGCTTGAACTTTGACAGCCCTAAAAGTAACCTTTTTTTTAAAATCCTGATTACATTATCCCGTTACATGTAATCAGTCACTCCTCAAGCCCGTAAATAGTAGATAACAGAGCCGGTGTGTCAGGGAACTCACAAAGTGTCAGAAAACAAAACCCTCTCTCTTTTCCTCCGTACCCAAATCTCTAAAAACGGGGGAACAACAGAGCTGATCCAGATTTGCTGCCGATATGACGTAATATCTGAAATGTGGGCTGGCTTTACGCCCACGGCCCTATCAGAAACGTTGCTGTATCAGAAACAATGCCTGACTGTTTTGGACGTAATATGGCCTTTGTTCACATTAGCAAGCATCGCTAACACTCAGAGCTAACCTGTACTGGAGAGAGCATGTATAAAAAGCAGGAAATATAAAAAAGAACTCACCTTGTAGTGAACCCGCAAGAGAAAAAGCATTACTGTTTCAGAAATAATCCTTGATGTGGTTTGGAACAGGATATGGTGTTTAATCACGGCAGCATTTAGCTGGGTAGAATTCTTCTGCATGAGCTCTCGTCTCGGCTCTCGTTTTCTTTTTTCTTTTTTTTCTTTAATAAAGCTACTGACCCAGAATCAGCACTTTAGTAACAGGGCTGAAATAGAGGGCTATGAGGCATGGCTAGAATGGGTTATCTGTTTGGTATTTTGAGCAAAACACTTCATAGACATGTTTTTTATATATCTGAGACCTATAATATATGCCTAAAATAGTATAATAGGAGACCTTTAAAGAGAGTGGTCTCAGTACCACTGCCCTGTAGTGAGGAATAACACACAACTTTTTGATATGAAATGCCGATGGTGTGTATAAAAACAAAGGTCCAGGCTTGGGCTAGAATATGAACACGCACCTCTTCAGCACGTGGAGTCTCATCAGGTTCACAGAATGCACTGCAGACGATCACAGTCTGATGCATTCAGTTTTATTCTTAAGAGAATGAAAACCCAGGCCAGTCTCTGGATGTGAATATGCTCTCTCCTTTTTAAAGTCCTAACCCCTGCTGTTCCATCTACAAACTGTAATCCCATTGTTTTGAGAGCTTGTTCTATTTTGACACTTTCTCCTCCTATGTGGGCTTGATGTTCGACTGACTTCAGTGTTTTCTAATGAGGGCTGAATGCCCTCCAGCTACTCCTACCCCTTTTAGTTTCAGGACCCCCTTTTTCCATCCAGCTATCAGCCTTCAACCATGGGCCTCTGTCCTTGCATGCACCCTCCTTCAAACACACACACACACACACACACACACACACACACACACACACACACACACACACACACACACACACACACACACACACACACACCTCACTACTCCTGCATACAGGCCTTGGCAGCATGGCCCTCAACTTTCTTGCACCTGAAGTTGCACACACACATCTCTGATGCAGTCACTGTACACACCTTACACTACGCTCATTTGACTGAATACTCATAATACTCTATTATTTTCTAATACCGAGCACTTTGTTAAGGAAAACTCTACTCCCAACATCAACTAGCGGAACGTCCCTGAAAACAGCATACTGTCCCACAATGCTTTGTCACATCCTTCACAGCACAGAACCACAGTCTCTCTCTCTCTCTCTCTCCCTCATCGCTCATCTCCTCTCTCTCCTCTCTCCTCCTCTCTCTCTCTCATCTCATCTCTCTCTTCTCTCTTCTCTCCTTCCTCCTCTCGACTCTCTCTCTCCTCTCATATCTCAAAGTCGTCTCTCTCTTCTCTCTCTCATCTCTCTCCTCAGTCTCTCTCCTCTTCTCTCATCTCTCTCTCTCTCTCTCTCTCTCTCTCTCTCTCTCTCTCTGTCTGTGTTTCCAGTTAATGATAGAGATACCAGCTTGCCCCCCGAGGCATTTAGTCCGGATCAGGCTAGTTTTGGTTCAGCCAGCCGTGACACACATGGGCACACGCCTCAAACTGTGTTATGTAATGAGAGCATCGGCCCCCTGAGCGTGTGGCCTTTTCATTGGAGAAATCTATTTATGAGGCAAAATCACATGAAAGGAGCAGAGCACTGACCCCCTGGCACACTGTGTGACCCCCCCACACAGCTCTGAGGAGAGGACATGTGAGGTCACCAGAGAGAACCAGCAGGTCCTCACACCAAACACAAATGGTAGTGGATGAGATAAGAAAGGTCAGGGAGGTCGTTGTGGACACAGGAAGAATCTCGGCTGGTTTCGAGTGAATCCAGTCCCCACAGCTCCTGTGAAGAAATAGAAAATGTCCATGTTGTAGTTCCTCTGGGTTCACTGCTCACATGTCTTTGAAGGATTTTAGAGGTGTACCTTTGTTTCCTGTATCTCATCAGTATGTGTGGACTGAGTGTGTGCTGCAGCTGAGTCCACAGTGTGTGTAGCCAGCCTGCAGTAGTAGAGTAGAGGCAGTATGACTGTGGCCTCTGTTGGTCCTCTTGGGTCAGCGCTCTGTCAGACCACACACATCACATCAGGAAGCCCACCCCCCCCCCCCCGCAGCCTGCAGCAGGCAGTGCTGTTCATTCCAATGCAACAGTCAGATCAAATGTGTGCAATTTGCTTTGAATGTGCAAATAAGGATGGGAATGTGAACATGAAGGTTAATTCAGGGCATGTAATACACATCCTCAGCTCAAAGGTCCACTAGTTCTGTGGTGCTCTAAACTGCAACTCATGGACATTATTGTTATATTATTATTAGCTCTCCTTTTAGAGCCGGCATCCTGCGGCATATCATCCCTACTTTTGCAAGAAAATTTCCATTAAGAATGTCTCTTGTAGAAATAAGACAGACTATACATCTGACCAACACCTTAAATATATGACATTATTTGTCAGACAGTATCTGTTTCATACACTGTCGGAGCCTCATTCTGTTCCTTTGTTTCCCCTCTTTAATGCTTCCTTCCCTTGATCTATTCCTCTTTGTTTCTCTAGTCTATAATGATATCTTGGTGTCGGGGCGTGGAGACTCCTTCTTCATCCGGACGCACTTTGAGTATGAGAAGGAGACCCCTCAGAGCCTGGCCTTCAGCCGGGGGGACGTCTTCAAGGTGGTGGATACGCTGTACGACGGGAAGCTGGGCAACTGGCTGGCTGTCCGAGTGGGCAAGGACAAGCAGCTGCTGGAGAAGGGCCTCATCCCCAACAAGAGCAGGTAGGGCCTCACTACTTGTAATACTCAAGTCCTTTACTGATGTGACCTTTGCAGGCCTTTACGTGTATTGGATTATTTTAAAATCAAAGTAGATCTACTTCTACAAAAAAGAAAGGATAAAGGATCTGAGTACTTCTTCCATCTCTGGTTGCATGCTGCCGCCTCGACAAAAAGCGCTGCACCCAGCGTCCTTTTTCTGAGAGTGCTGTTGTTTTTTGGAGTGCTTCAAGTTGAAAAGATTTCACTGATAACATCAGTGTAGTAATTGAAGGAGAAGAACGCGATCATAGAAATATCTGAACACGAGTCGCCTTCCTCATCGGCTGTCAGACTGAGCGGTGAAGCCTATTCATACAAAGTGTGAGAGCAAGCATCCTCTGTTTGGTGTTAATGGTGAACAAAAACATGTCAAACAATATATAGTAGCACAAAGAGATGAGAAAATCCAAAGGGGCAATGCTATTTTGGTTTACCAACAGCAGTGATGAAATATTGTTGCCATAGAAAGAATAAAAACAACTCTTGGAAGAGTCTTCCACCATAACTTCATCATTTATTGCTGAGAACCATCAAAGGTCACAGTGAGGTGTTTCCTCTGAAACAGGGGTATTCAAAGTTAGGTAGCAAAGAACCACACATCCATTTTAGATAATGATGTCACTGGTACAGAACAGTGCCAGGATATACACCAACATGACAACATTGGTCAATTATTTGTCCCTAATGTAAAAGAAGGATTTCAAGTTTCAAAGGCTTTATTGTCGTATGCACAGTAGCTAGAGTGTATATTTGGCAATGAATATCTGAAGTCCCAGGCTCCTCCACAATGCCTGAATCGATGAATAAATCCATGTTGTTTGTGCTCCCTGGCAGAGCGGAGCAGATGGCCAATGTGCAGAGTGCTCATAAAGCAGTGGCGGGCGATCGTGCAGACTTCTGGAGGTTGCGAGCTCAGCGCTCTGTGAAGAGGAAGGACCTGAGGAAGAGCAGGGAGAACCTGAGCGCTCAGACCCTGGCCACCCGCTTCCCAGCATACGAACGGGTGGTGCTGCGAGAAGGTGGCTGAGTCTCTGTTCATGGAGACACTTTTCTCTAGGGTCTGACTGAAGAAAACATCTAGATCACATAGGAGGATTTTAATGTTGTAGTCTACACAAATGAAACAAATAAAACATTGACTTTAATTAAATGTAGATGTCTGTCACCATTATGTAATGGATATAGACTGAAGCATCACGTATTTACACATGTAGGTGTTTTTTTACTCAAAGAGTGTTTGAGCCTTATGTTCTTCAGAACATGTCTACATTGCTTTAAACAAGCTTTAATGCTGCACAGCCACAACCGTATCCTTTTAGATTGGAAATGTATTCTGACAAAGATTGGATCAATATAGGCAGGTTGATATTATAGCAAGAATGATTAATGCTATGTATAATTTCATTTAGAAACGTCCTTATTACGTGGTTTATCACCAGGTTGAACTGTAAAATGTCTTACAAGTTACATACCTTTGTTGTGTTAAAAATTAATGTTTTTTCTTACTACATAATGTACTGCACTAAAAAAAACTGACTTTAATTAAATGTATTACGTCTAATACAGATTAAATATAACTGTATTAGGTCAGTTGAAAGCAATAATATTAAGTGTAAATAAAAAAGATCAGGTTCAACTTAATAGTATTGCCTTCAAGTACCCTAATACAGTTATATGACATTTTTTGACATGATACATTTAATTAAAGTCAACATTTCAGTGTCTTCAGTGTGTGGCAGCATTGTAATGAGCTCCGTGTCGTTGCAGCTGGTTTCCGCCGCCCCGTGGTTCTGTTCGGGCCCATCGCTGACGCTGCCAATGAGAAGCTGGCCTCCGAGATGCCCGACCTGTTTGTGGTTGCCAGTGAGTCCCGGTGTCAGTGTCAGTGGGTGTTAGGTGTCCTGGTGTTTCTGCTAAATCCCCCCCCCCACTGTTTCTCTGTTCTTATGTTAGAAACCGAGCCGAAAGACGCCGGATCAGAGAAGTCCTCCGGAGTGGTTCGCCTCAACACCATCCGACAAATCATCGAGCAGGTGCCCACTCACACTGAAAAACACACACACACACACACACACACACACACACACACACACACACACACACACACGCACACGTACACACGCGCACACACATCGATTAAAATCGAAGCAGTATCCTATTAATCTATCAGTGTCCTTGAAGTGTGAGATTTAAAGGGTTTTGTCAACCAGCTGCTCAACTGGGATCTGTGTTTAGTTCATCTAGTTAGTTAGTTAAACAGTTAGTTAGACAGTTAGTTAGATAGATAAATAGTAAGTCTGTTAGTTACTGAGTAAGTTACTTAGTAAAACATTTACTTAGAAAGTTAATTAGATAGTTAGTTATTTAGTTAGACAGTTAGTTAGAAGGTTTAAAAGATAGTTAAATAGATAGTAAGTTAGTTGGATAGTTAGTTAGTAAATAAGTTAGTTAGATAGCTAGTTAGATCGTTTGTTAATAAGTTAGAAATGTAATTAGTTAGATAGTGTGATGGTTAGTTAGTTAGTTTATAAGTTAGTTTAGAATCAGTAAGTTAGTAAGTTAGTATGTTTGTTATTTAGTTAGTGTGATGGTTCGCAGGTTGGTCAGTGGCTCTCATGGAGATCTAAGCAGCAGCTGTGGATGAGAGAAACATCATGAACAGGAAGTGATAAGTTCCTGTTAGGAACAAGCTCATCATCTCGTAGGTCAGGCACTGTCTCTGTGAGATGAACAGGCTCAGGCACTATTTCCTCAAAGCTGATCTATTTGGTTTGTAAAAAACACAGTTTAAGGAAGTACATTTAATCATTTACAATAACGGAACACAAATCAAATTGATACAGCTCTATTTAGGTTTGTTCAAATAGGATGCAAAAGGCTGAGTAGGACAAGAAAAGCTATTAACTATAGATGTATACATACCACTATTCATATGTGCATATACACCCACACTCCGTTATTAAGATTATATTTATTGATGTACTGTTGTAGGCCAGGGACAGAAGTAAGCATAGATACAAGTACAAAATAAAACACTTAAATTAAGCATTAAAAAGAAAGAGACAGATTGTTTAAAAGTAACATCCACAAAAGCTATAGAAGGCACAAAGTAACTCTTTCTTTGTTATCGCCACTTGTGTGTCAAATGTAACCCTTCTGTAATCCTGCTGACAGTCACACAAACTGAGCTGAGAAATGAACCTCCTTGGCAAAAATATGAGAGATCTGAGCTGATCCACGGCCTGTCTGTTTACTGGCAGGCCGCAAACAACTTCACGGCGTATACTGCCGCCCGAAGTCCCCGGCCGGAAGTCCCCGGAGTTGGGGAGTGGCTTCAGTAGAAGCTGCTGGGACTCCCAGCAGCTTCTACTGAAGCCTTCAGAGTAAATCGCCAGAACGCCGACACCTCCTCATCACCACCGCTCCCATGTTTTTTTTTGTTTTGCCATAAGTTAGTCTCTCTGCGTTGGTGCGCGGGGCTAATGCTAATAATGCTAATGCCAGCAAATACAATGGCGGCTTCAAAAAACTTTTCAGAGTTTTACGGGGCGTGGTTTGCAATTCGCCCAGCCAATCAGAAATTGGTACTTTTTTCTCCCCATGATAGTCCCACCTCTCTAGCAGGCACTCAAATTGGGGGTAAAAGTTCTCTGAACTAAGTTCTCTTTTTGGTGTGAACGCAAAATTCCAGGCACTAACAGAACTAAACGGGAAAAGTACGGGGAAAAGTACTCCGGTGTGAAAGCGCCTAAGGACCCCATTAGGCCTGTTAACCATTGTTTCCCCATTCCTCCTCCACAAAGGACAAGCACGCCCTGCTGGATGTGACCCCCAAGGCAGTGGACACCCTGAACTACACCCAGTGGTACCCCATTGTCATCTTCTTCAACCCAGACAGCAAGCATGGCATTAAGACCATGAGACAGAGGATCGCCCCTAACTCCAACCGCAGCGCCCGCAAACTCTACGAACAGGCCGTCAAACTGAGGAAGACCTGCGCTCACTTGTTCACTGGTACAGCCTCACACCCACGGTCAGCTGTATTACCACAGTTGGGAAGTAACTAAGTACATTTACCCGAGTACTGTACTTAAATACGATTTAGATTTTGTACTTATACTTGAGTAACATTTTCAATGCAGGACTTTTACTTGTAACAGAGTATTCCTACATTCTGGTGCTTCTACTTTTACTTAAAGGTCCCCTATTATACTGTTTTTCATCAATATATTATAGGTCTCAGATATATACAAACATGTCTCTGAAGTGTTTGGCTCCAAATACCAAACAGATCATTGCAGCATCCCATAAAACCCTCTGTTTCAGCCCTGTTTCAGAAGTGCTGATTCTCTGTCTGTTACTTTAGATGAACATAAGGAGCCCCTCCCCACGCACCTCTGAGAGATATTTGGTTAAAAAGAACACAATGGTGCTCTTGGATTCAGGTGATAAGGGGGGGGGGGGGTTACCTTGGTTGGTGATTGGCTAATGGTTACACAAGCCAAAAAAATCGTTATGACATCATAAAGTGGCCAAAATCTGATCAGCTCATTTTCAGGTTTTTATATAAATGGATCAGGACAAAAAGTGAGGGGGTCTTTTCTCCTGAAACTTTCAGAATCTCTTTACACAGAGGGGACACATGGTTATGTAAAATACATGAAAAAGTGGATTTTGCATAATAGGTGACCTTTAAGTACAAGATCTGAGTACTTCTTCCACCTCAGTGTATTACCATAGTACTGATGCAGCTCTAGTTGTATATTTGTCATTATTTATGTATGTTTATGTTGATGCTGAGGTTGGATGGTTTTCTCATTCAGCCACCGTTGATCTGAACTCAGCCAACGACGCCTGGTACGGCAGCGTCAAAGACTCCATCAGAGGGCAGCAGATGCAGGCGGTGTGGGTTTCTGACGGCAAGGTAAGCAAACACAAACAAACCCAATACAGGCACACCTGTACTTCTGTCTTTGTGAGGACAGACATTGACAAAATACATTCCCTAGCCCCTTACCCTAACCTCTGTTCAATCATTCTGAGTTAAAGACGCCCGGCCTTGGAAATCTGACCATTGATAAGTCCAATAAAGTCACAAATGAAACAGAGAGTTTAATTCTGCTTGTATAGATTCCTTTGCCTTTGCTTGACATATTCTGAGAAATTAGCAAACCAGAAAACAATAGACTTTCAATATTTAACAGATGCAACAAACTCGTTTTTTATATATCTTTCTTTTAAAATATGTTAAGCGGCTCTCCACAAACTTGATTTGGTGGCAGAGGGGAAAGTGGCTCTTTTGATAGTTAAGGTTGATGACCCCTCCCCTAACCCTGATCTTCATTCTAAAATGAAGATCAAAGAGGAAGACCTTTGAAGAACCAGTCCTCACTTTGAAGGTCTACAATTCAAACAGGTTCTCACAAAGATAGATATACAGGCACACCAACACACACCTCTACGGTGAACACCAGTCAGTGATATCAAGGTCATTAAAAGCCCATTTAGTCATTTCAATGCTATTTACGCATCTTTCAAATTATCCGGATTTAAGCAGAAATGTTTGTTTTTAAAAATGTGATTTTGGTGAAATCTAGATATGGTCCTTTTTACAAATATGTAGAATGTAACATCTCAGCTTTCCTGGACTGGAAAACAGACTTAGCAAAGACAAACACGTTTCAAAAACAATGTCAAGAAATATAATTTAAAATAAAAATAAAATCAGGAGCTTTGCTAGAGCATGGCAAAGGGATTCAACTGACAACTCTACCCTGATGCATATTTATTTTACTTCTCAAATCAAATGTATTACTTTTCTTAACTGCTTAACAACATAAATAAACTAATAGATTTATAAAAAATCAAAAGGGACACATTTCTAAGGAACGCTGGACCCGTGATTTCCCTGTTGTTAGTTACACTTTAATGATATAGGACATTTCAATACAAGCTCTCCTCGCGATGAATGATCCGATAGTAGCTTCAGCTCACACTGAGGGAGCGTTACAGGACTGTTGTGACTCTGCATTAGTTTCAGCCCGGTGGTTTCTCAGTGTGTCTCCAGTTGTTCTTCAGTGGCAGGAGTCTGTAGTGGACCTACTATCTGCCTGTCACCTGCATAGCAGCCACCTGTGTGCGCTCTGAGCATGCTCACTGTGTGTCATCCTACTTCCTGCCAGTAGTGCTACAGCTCGGCTCTGTTTGTCTTTCTTTCTTCTCTCTTGTTCTCGTGCTCTCCGTCTGTCCATCCTTCCTTCCTGTGCACCCAAGATCCATCATGTGTCTCTTCTAGCTGGAGACAGTAGAGAGTGATCTGGACTGCCAGGACGTGGAGCGTCTGTCCTTCCTGTCCGCCATGTCCGCTGACTACCTCAGCATGGACAGCCGGCTGACCTCTGACCTCGAAGACACCGCCGACGAGGGCGGGACCTACACCGACAACGAGCCGGATGTGGAGATGATGCACATCTCAGCCATCAGCCGCTCGTCTGAACCCGTCACAGCTGAGGAGGTCAGACACACACACACACACACACACACACACACACACACACACACACACACACACACACACACACACACGTGCGCGCACACACACACACACACACACACACACACACACACACACACACACACACACACACACACACACACACACACACACACAGGTCTAGTTTACATAGTCTTAACAGTCACACATGTAATATTTTAAAGATGACTTCATTTTGTCATTTGACAACACCAAAGATCAGACATGATTAAAGCCATAATGATATTTAACAACCAAGGGAGTGGCTTATTTCCCTTTTATACTATTGAAAAAAGTGAAATAAGGTTTCTTTGATGTACTTAAACCTCTACTAGTATACCCTAGGTTTCAATGGGCTTCTAACAGAATCATTTGTATGAAATGCCCTCTAACTTCTTATGTGTTTTAAACGGACACAGTGGAAGCACTACATTCAAATTGGAACCTGACATGTACCTTAATATGTCCTCTCAAACAAGGCATTTTTTAAGTTAAAGTAAAAAAAAGTGGATATATACATTTCAGCATGAGAAAATACATATATTTAAAACAATATTATTATTATTTTATTCATATTTATTCACACAAAAAATGAATAAATAACAAATACAAATATAATATATAAAAAAGAAACAAACAAAGGATACAAAATAGTACAGGATACCTGATATTGCTCATATTCATGGGACAAACATATTCAGGAGAAGGGATATTTACCTCGACGGGATCATCTGTCAGCTGGTCAGGGGTCTGTACCTGCAGCATGACCTCAGGCTGGGTAGTTAACATTTGGGATTCAACGTGAGCACTGACCTAAATACAGTGCTGGAGTAAATGCTACTCTCCCCTCTGCTCATCATGAGCCCTCCTTCGCCCGGCGGAGGGATACAGCCTCACCGCTCCAATGTTTAGCTGACATCAGGCTCACTCATTGTCCCTGTTCAAATGACTTGTTATTCATCAACATAGTCATGCATTGATCTTCTTAATTCTTTGTATCTTCAGCTCTACTTCACTGTGTTGGCAAAGTGTTAAGGGCTTTATGATGACATGTATGTGTTGCCTTTAGTATGCTGCTGCCACCTGCAGTGCAGACAGGAGAATACAGCTCCAGTAGCTTCTGTACAGCTGCTCTATAGTTAACCAGTGAATACAAAGTCTGTACCTTCAATGTATTGCATTCTCTATTGTAATTATATGTCCACAGTTATTATGGACACACATGTAACAAATACACCAAATTACCAACAAAAGTCTTAATACATCCTTTTTTTAATGAATTCTTATGTGTTTGTGTGTGTAGATCTTACGCAGGTACAGTCCAGACATCCGGAGTCGCTTAAGGAAACTGAGCAGCCGTGAAGTCCTCAGCAGGTCCAGTCCTCCACCTGTCTTCTCACCAGATGGCAAGGTAAGACACACACAGTATATATGCACAGTGGGAACACACACACCTCAGGAAACACGCTTCTGCGTCCTAAAGCAATCCAATCCAACTGTGAGGATTACATTACATTACATTATATTACATTATATTACATGTCACTTGTTAGACGCTTTTATCCAAAGCGACTTACATACATTCAATACTGTGGGCAATCCCCACAGGAACAATTTGGGGTGAAGTGTCTTGTCCAAGGACACAGCGGAATGTTGACTGCAGCAGTGCCCCTGTGATCCAAAGATCAGCGCACTATCCACTGAGCCACAACCTCCCTGGATAAGAAGATACTTTCTTTGTTTGGGTTTTGGACTGTTGGTCAGACAAGGTATTTTAGCTATCCAGGGAAATTAGTGGGTGTAAAATTAGATAGTGACATCACTATGTATCACTCGTGCTTCTATTGGCTAGTGCTCCAACACATTGTACGTCTAACCAATCAGAGCAGACTGGGCTCTGGTTTCAAACAGAGGGTGAAAAGAGGTGCATACAGGCAGTATGAGAAAAATAAAGAGCTTTTTGAAGCATGGAGACATGTCCTCTTTAATACTTGCCCTATGCATACTGTTTTGTCCTAGGAAACACATGTTGGAGTGTAGGGTTATTGTTAACAGTGAACAACAAGAACACAGTTCAACTCCATCAGCCAGCCCCTACCTTTTGCAGATGAATACTTCTATCTCCTCATCATATTGACATTTATGTTGGCTGGAAATCGTTTACAGTGTGTTTATACTGTGGGTTCAAATGAAACATGGTTATACAGCAGTGTTGCTCATAGTGACAACTGCACACAGGTTAACATAGTGGAGCATTTAGCAGCTAAAGAGCTAAAAGAATGTATTGGTTGAAGATTTGGCGTATAGTGGTGCATACTAAAAAAAAACTATAAGAGGAAATGAGTTGTAAATAGGAACAAATGTGTAACCATTTTAACCATAAATATCTGAAAAGGTCAGTAACAATAAGAATATCACAATTCACTCTGAGACTGTGGACAGTATATCATATTGTTAAGTGGCAGCATTTGACAGAAGATAACATGTCAGCTAAAGCTAACCCTAGCTCTGCCCCCTAGTGGCCAAAACAAATAATTGAATGCAGAGTAAAACTAATGGTTAAAAAAAGTTTGTAAAGATATCAAAGTCAATTGGATAACTTGTAAACAGCAAGAGTTCAGAGCTGCCTCTGAATTGAAGATCATTTAATGAGGACTTATATCACACTGGTTACAAAACTGGGGGTATATGATTTCAGATGAAGCTCTGTTTTAATTGTGGTGCGGTCAAAACAATGATGTAAGAGATCTTCAACACTTCCATTTCACAAAAACGAATGTTTAAATGATGATCTTAATGATAAAAGATAATAATTTAGCAAACGGTAATTCTGGACACCTCTAGCAACTGTGACTCTAACCTCCACATGCACCCTGGCAGCTCTTTACCTCCATGGAAAGGAACAAACTGCCCTTCCCTTTGAGGAACGGCCTGATATGGAGAGTCCACTCTCACTGCAGCTCAGAGTCCTCCGACGTCAGCTCATTGGACCAGATGGGTACCCAGAATTCCCCTCACTTATTGTTACATGGTGGTGGGCTTGTGTTTAGCGGTAGTGTTCGACTTTAAACTGTGTTCATGTTTTCATTCCAACGACCCATCACAGCAGCATACGTCAATGATTAGCATGAATCTCTATTCCAAGTAAACAGTGAATGATGTTGAGGAGATGCAGTTTGGTTGGAATGAAAACATTTTCTCTGTATTTGTCTTTTTAGTGCTTTCTCTTATAGGCAACGTTTTGTGTCTGAACCCAAATCCCAATTTTTTTAATTTACCGTCGCTTTCCACAACCCAGACTACCACTGAAGCCGACCCACTAGTTTATTATATTTAATAAATACAGTATACAGTTTTTTTATTTGTGGAATATTAAAGAGGCCCTGTTCTGCTTTTTGGGGTTTCCCTCTCCTGTAGCGTGTTATATATGTTTTTGCATGTACATGTTGTGTAAAGACTACAATCCCTGTGTTCCCTCCAGAGGGAGTTTCTCTCCCACACTCCCCAGACTGGTCTCTGGTTTCAGACAGAGGGTGAAAAGAGGTGCTGCAGCACAGGCAGTATGAGAACAATAAGAGCTTTCTGAACATTACAGCATGGAGACATGTAGAGACACTAGTTACTGATATACACCTGAACATCAGCAGAATGGGTCCTCTTTAAAAGGTTGTAGATTTGTTAGTGAATATTTGTATCCATTGAGAAATAACCAAACAAATAATATAATTAAGTAACATATAGATGACATGACGTTCTTTTTTCCCACTGTTCTCTATGGGAACACGTTTCTAAAACCAAATATGGACTCTGCTCAGGAGGTAATACTTCATTCAAAGCTTTCCTCCCCACCCCACTGAACTTTGTCTATTTGCATCCTTCCTTACGGGTCAGAGTTCTCCTAGGTGACATGGAATAGATGTCTAAACCACGCAGCCTGACAACAGGAGTTCATCAAGGCTCAGTCCTTGGCCCTTTCCTCTTCTCCCACTACATAAAGGATGCTCTCGTACTTGTGTGTGGCTTCTCCTAGCTAGGTAGACGGCTTTTCTTTTCATCCCCCAATCAAAAACTGTCATCTCTCCTTGCCTAGCTGACATCCCATAGCTGTTGTCCTGGAGCTCAACATTAACTCATCTTTTTATCCTGTCCAAGACAATTGATGTATATTTAGTACATTGGGTTTATTGTTTTAGTTTAGTTTTTAAACTTAGTATCGAGAAGGTATAAAACTTCTTGGAATTTCTCTAGTTTTGGTATCCTTTACTACATTTCTAGAATCTTCTTCCCTGCTGATGACTTGAATTGATCTAGCAGATGTGACATCATATCACAGCAACGACAACCTCAAACACCACTGCTGGCATTCTGCACAAATGGCAAATGATTACCATCATCCAGCACCTCATACATGTCCTGAGGTGTTCCTGGAACACCTGGGATAAGCATTCCCTTTCTTGCTGACCTAAATCAAGGAAAACATTTTGGATACACAATCCAATAAGCTTGACAGAATAGTTTAGCCCTCAGTATTGTTTGAGTGCCTCTAGTCTCAGTATGTCCACCTGCTGTGGTCGAGATGGAGAATTACTAAAAGCTAAGGAGCTCATATTGTTTGAGTGCCTCTAGTCTCAGTATGGCTGCATTATGAAGTTTCTGCTTAGTTTCTATTGTCTTTTATAAAAGTCAGATTTGTACCACCACTAACTCTGAGTATCTGCTCTGGCTCTAATGCTTTTTCTCCAGGTGAAACTGTCTCTGAGGGACGATCCGGCCACTTTATCAGGATCAACTAACCCACACCATCACCACCGTCAGCACCACCCTCCACCCCCCAGCTCCAGCAGAAGTTACGATTCTCCCTCCAGCAGCAGCCCGGCCAGCAGCAACAATGACCCACCCCCACTCATCCCCCGTTCAGCAGCTTCCTCCGGCCCGCTGCCCCTGCCTCCGGCTCACCACTTTAACTCCTGCAGCAAAATGTGGCCTGTGGGAGCGCCTCAACCCCCCCCCATTCTTAGGTCCAGCAGTTGTGGGGGCACGGCAGAGGCTACAGTGCACCCCCCCGGGGCTCTGCCCGGTGCCCTGGCAGCCTGCAGGCAGCAGCAGGAGGAGGCGGCGCAGGACAGCCCTGGGGAGGACCCCTCCCTCAGGTCCTTCTATGGGAAGATCAAGGCCTTCGAAAAGATGGATCACTTCGCCCGGGCCCAGAGGATCCTGGAGCTGCAGGAGGCGCAGAGTGCCAGGGTGGGCAGAGCTCTTTGTTCCTATTGGCCAGATACTACAGTATCAGGAGGTGATTTACACGCATTGGTGTAAACTAACCAAGTACATTTACTCAAATACTGTACCAATGTACAATATTGAGAGACTTGTACTTTGCTTGAATATTTAAATGTTTTGCTACTTCTTACTTCTACTACACTACAACAACGACCTGAACTACAATTCAGAGGTAAATGGTGTACTTTTACTCCTCTGCATTTATTTAATACCTTTAGTTACTTTACAGATTTGGATTGATAATGTGAAATATAATCAACTCTTAAATCAGACTTTAGCTGCACCTATTCTCAAGAATAACATCATACAAATCTTATATAGCACCTTTTAAAACTAAGTTAGTAAATAATAAATGGATTTTGTAGTAAAGGTACAAAAGTGATTTTTGTATTTAATGAGGTATTTCTCTGTACAGCACTTTGGTCTGGAGGTTTGAAAGTGCTGTACAAATAAAGCTGTATTGTATATTGTACATTTCATTTACCAAAGAAAAATACATTTCATGATTATCACTCATGTACAGTATCGTGTAATTATAACTCAACATCTCATCAAGAATAGATTTAAAAATACAAAACATGACGAAAACACAAGCAGGTCTAACATAAGACATACTAATGGACACCAATGATGGGGACAAGGACAATAACCAGAGGATGGAGAGCACTACAGGCTAATCGGACATTCTGAGTATTGAAGTGGGATTGGATGATGATTTTGTCTGATGTGTGTCTGTCTATTTCAGTAGAGTAGTTTTGTAGGTAGAAGCTGCACTTTAGTTTGGATCCCGGTCATTTCAAGCTTTAATACACTGATCTGTGTTTGCAGATGGAAATGGCTCAGAAGCACCCCGACATCTACGCCGTTCCTCTGAAGGCGGCCAAGTTGGAGCACAGCCGCCCTCAGCCTATCGGGTAGGCTCACTACTGCATACGCCTCGCTGTGAGTGGCTGTCCGCGTGTCAGTGTAACCTCCCACTTCCCCCCCGATACCACAGAGGCTCGCATTGTTGGGGAAATCCATAATCAGTTACCTATCACAATATAAAGTACTGTAACCTGATTACTTTCCATTACTTTTGGATTACCTCAATATCAAATGCAATGCAAATAATAAACAAGAGAAATTAAATATCAATAAATGACTTTAACTTTAGACCTATTCGAATACATATATTGATTTGCCGATTTATAGTCCACTGACAGTTAATCAAGTTATCTATATAACTTTATCTGGATGTCAAATGGAAAGTGAGCATACATTGTAATGTTTCACAGAATACTACCCTCAATATAATGAAGGCCTAAGAATAGGAAATACACATTTCCTTGCAGCTTCTACAGCATGATGGCCCGGTTCAGAGGGTTACATTAAAAATGTATTTAAAATGTTACAATTACTAGTTTCCTGTTAAAAATGAAGTCTATTATGTAAGACCACGGAATAATGTGACCTTAGAAAAGAAGAAATCAAGATATTTAAAGCTAGGCTACAGAATAGTATAGTTTACAAATGCTGTTTTGTTTAATACATGATCATGACGGAAGGAGAGTGCGAGTTGTGCAAACCAAACAAAGTTATTAGAAATAGCCATGTGGCAGCAACTGAGATAGTCCACACAAAATAATAAACAATATAGCCATCCTCTATTTCTTGAGGGGGCTCCATGTACCCCTCTCAGGACCCAGCTTACTGCAAGAGACCAGAACCAGGTTACCTGCTTTTATTTAGTGACTCATTACCTGATTCTGATCAGCTTTCTGGCTTCCGGCTGATCCAAGCCGGCGCTCCAAACACACCGCGCTGCAACAGGTGCCTTGCTCAAGAGCACCTCGACAGCACCCAGGAGACATTCAAAGAATATTTCATCTAAATAAAACACATCTCAGACATGAATATGTGTTAAAGTGGCTCTTACATGGGGATCAGGGATCAGTGAAGTCACTGGGATTCATCATGTGGGAACTATGAACGCCTGTACACCTTTTATCGCAATTCATCCAATAGTTGTTGAGACATTTATGTCTGAAGTGGTGGACAGACGTTGTGAAATCAGAATCAGCAACTACATACAGTTGATTTTATGAGTGCAGGACTCAACACAGCTGTTGTCTGTCCCTCCAGGTCCAGCTCCCGTCCTGGACCCCAGACTCCTCCGTCCTCCAGGGAGGGGCGTCCCTTCTGCCCCAGCGAGGAGGATGTGAAGGAGGAGGCAGCGCCTGAATACTACACCGCCAACTCCTTCCAGTACCAGGACACCCAGCTGTAGCTGTCCTGGACACATGTTCATGCACTGCAGCTGCAGTCTCTAACACATCCATGCCATCATGCCCTGCACAATAAGCTGCTGACTCTGAACTGACTCTTGCTTCTTTGATATTAAAGGACAAAAACTTTTATTTTTGATTCACAGAAGTTTAAGCAATCTCACTATCCATTTGGATAGGAACACTGTCCTCACTTAACTTGTTATGTTTATCTAATGGTTTCTTTATTCTTTAGCACTTTTAAAGGGTAAACTGAGTAATCAGGAACCACTTGTTTTCTTGCCTATGCAACTCTTCAGTTCGTGCACAGCAACTGAAACGTATTGCCACGAGTTTTGTCCTCACGAAAACCTCAACAAACCTAAAAACCACAATGCGCTTTATCACATCTCTCCCCATCTTTTTCAAGCTACTATTATTGCCAGCTACGATCAATAAATGTTACCTATATATTATGATATTCAACGTACATATGTATATATATATATGCACAGTATACATATGTATTTAAAGTCAAGTGTTTATACTCTGTCTTTGCATTCCTTCGTATATGACAATGCCTGTGTATACATACAGTATATATCTATATATAGTCTATCTAGTTACACTGGAATTTGTAATAATTTTTTGAAGTGCCTTTTACTTTCTCAGTCCCATGAGGTTCGGGTTGTGTTTCCTCTGCCCCTCAGCCGCCCAGCCGTATTAAAACCTCTGCTGCTGTCAAGCTTAAAGGGAAACCAGGGAACCAGTGACACCAAAATCTCAATGCTGAGCCCATACACCACACACTGTACTGTCAGGATTTAGAAAGAGCTAACACTGTCTGACCGCTAGAATCCATCCACAGCGATATCAGTTTGAGACTTTACGTGTAGATAATGAGAGTAGTTCAAAAGTGTTATCTGTAAAGGCCCGGTCACTCCGGGATTAAGGTGGCAAATCAACAGATTTCAATAGAAGCTGCAAAATGTGCGGAATAGCTCGCAGGGTTAGGAGTTCAAGTTTAGTGAAATCAAGCATTAACAAATAGTGAATTGTTTGTTTCAACAAGCTGATCTTTGAAGGAAATTAGGTTCAGATTGTCTAAAGAAAAAAGAGGCTATCATAGCTTGTTAGCTCTGTTACAGTTTTTATATATACTTATGAGGCAAAGGCTTGCAACAACACAAATTATTTCTGTTGCAGCCCTACTGTTTCCCCCTTGGCATATTGGCAACAGCTATAGGAGCTTGGTACTGTAGACAGTTACTGCATCACCAAGCTGCAAGATAAACTCATTTAAATGCGGCTTGCAATACATTGAGCTGAGCCCTATCTGGTGTGACCGGGCCTAATCATTGCTTTTCGTCATTGTTTCCTTCTTTGGTGCTCAGCAGTCATTGCTGTTCTGCTTTAGTACCGTCCAGCCAAAAAGGGTTTGCCAGTTTGAACTGAGCGGCCAGTAGCGAGATGTCTTTAGCCTGGGATTGTTTTGTTGGTTGACTTTCTGCAGGTGATGCCCTTTTCTGTCTGTTCAGCCATGGAGGCTATCACTGCCTATGCTAACAACCCTGTTAAATGATACGGTTGGTGACATTCTACATTTTTCTTATTGTCAACAAATCCCATGTGCAGACCCAAACCAACAATGAATGTATCCACTAACAAGTATTGTGTGTGTATCCAACACCTGATACTGAATCTCTTATTTCTCTGTGCCATAGAGCTCTAATGTTGGTCACAAAACTGTAAGAGGCTCGACCAGAGCAGCAAGAGTGGATTAATCCGCTGCTGAACATACTGCAGTCCCCAACAAATGCACTATTTCCTCCTGTTTGAAAAATAACTAATGTGTTCAGTTCTTTGAAAATAATAAACTATATATTTGTGAGCTTTTGTAATATATATATTTATGTCTTCAGAAGGAACCAGACAGTATTGAGTTGTGGACTAAGGCAGTGTTGATGTCGCTTTTTGGGACAATAAGAAGAATTTGGAATAACACCAGCCTTATTTTCTAAAGCTGTTTCCCATTTTTGATACTTGAAGCCTGAATAGAGTGGTGCAAGAAAGAGTCCTAAAACCAGGAAATTAGTTTCACGTCACGTTCCCTCGTCTCAAAGTCAACGTTTTTGGGTCATATTTTTAGTCTGACGCTTAAGAAATGTTCATACTTTGTTCTACGACATAAAATACATCAGTGAATACCCCACTGGTAAATGTTGGAGGCTTTTATGTGTTTTAAAAACTGGTTGCAATCAAGTGACTAAATGAAACTACTAAACATCATCACATCAAACATTAGCCGCCTTTAGCTTAGCGGTGGTGACTCGCAGCCATGTGACCGTTGTGAAGCTTGTTTATAGCCTATTGTTAGCTTTTAACATCTGCCGATTGCATTTGTGCTTCAAAAATCATAAAGAGTTTTTAAAATGTAGAGATTATCCTGCTGAAATGTGTGTTTGCCACAGATCTGCCCTTCTGATGCTCACTCCCTGGTTCCTACACAAATACATCATCCTGCACCACTCTGTGACGGTGCAGCAGGGTCAGCCCACTGAAGGTTTAGCTGAAGTACCCCCTAAGCTGGGGTGGGTATCCAACCCTGTCTGAAGGCTCTCAAGTGAGAGACATCTTCTTTTATTAGTCCAAAGCAGACGATATGACTTCCTGTGTGCCAGCAGACATGTATCTACACAGGCCTATCACACAGGCCTGTCACACAGGGGGAGCAGCAAACACAGGATAATGTGCTGGCTCTATCATTTGAGTTTGTACCAGTATCCACAGAGTGTATTCAATCACGTACAAAGGTCTTGAGCTAGAAGGAAACGTGTGAAGCCACAGATGGGGTGTGTGTGTGGTGGAGGCAGTTCTCTTTGGGCTCCACCATCAGTGTGTATGAATGGTGTCCCACATGTTTCAAATATGCTTGATTGTATATCTCAGTTCACTCTTCAGCTCCAAACATGAGCTACCAAGTGCTTACCGTCAGAAGTGCTAATGAGTGACGTCCCTCACAATGCACCGGCACTGAACTCATGGAGTGTACTGCAGTGTGTCATGGCAGAGGGTAATACTGTACATGAGACGGAGAGAATTAGAAGAATGATTGGACTGTGTCTGCTGAGTTTTTCCATGTTTTCACCTTAAAACACCAAATAAAACAAAAAGTCTTAACCACCTGAGTAGTGCATGGACTGTGATCTGTTATGGCATTTATGGTATTAAAGCTTAATACAGTGTAATCCTAATGAGATGTAAACTGCTGCATCCTGAGAATGTCGTGTGTGTGTGTGTGTGTGTGTGTGTGTGTGTGTGTACAGAGGCTATGATCAGGGGAAATCAGAAAAAGAAACTCGAACAGGGGGGTGGATGAATTAAACCTCAGTGTGCTGGAGTCCTAGATCAACTGGACCGCGACCTGGACTTTCCCTCTGGTTCTCAAGTACAGAGCCCCGACCCTCCTGATCTGGATGACATGTCATAATAACATACAATTGTATAAAACACAATTTGCTTACATTTTTGTTCTCTTTTGAGAATCAAACAAAACAGATTTAAAGTGGACCTATCATGCAAAATGCACTTTTGTACGTCTTTTATACATGAATATGTATCCAGGGAACTCACCAAGTGTCCGAAAATACAACCCTCTCTCTTTTCCTCCGTACCCAAATCTTTTCAAAACGGGGCTACAACGAGCGGATACAGATTCCATCCGACCCGACGTCAGCCCGGAATAGTGGGCGGTGACGCTCTGCCTACATGGGCAACGCTCCACCTATCATGGGAATGAGAGGTTGGGCCAATGCTTCCAATCTAAGGCTAAAAACTGGATCAATACCAACCATCCGGGACCAGGACACATCCAATTTGGAAGCTGTAAGTTTTTCCATGTTAATATTTGCATTCCTTTTTATTTAGTGGTGTTTTTCCTGATAAAGTTATCTCTACTACGTAGCTTGTAGCATGTAGCTTGTAGCATGTAGCTTCGCCGTATCAATGTCGCCTCAAACCCAAACAGTAATCGGTTGGGTGTTTATATGTTTTTGTAACATTGTATTTCATTTTGTAAGCTCCGCAGTCTTTTCTATTTAAACTATCAGGCATTTGCTAACCTGTTCAGGCATACTGCTGTAATGGCAATCTGTGTGAAGGCTGTAAAGCTACGCCCTAGCCGATACCACAAGTATTTATTCTCCTATTTATTAGTATTTTTGATCCTCTAAAATCATATTGAGTAAGTTATAATAACAAACGTAATCTTCTGTAGGTAAGTGCAGTTTTTTCCAGCGTTTTATGTAAAAGCTTTTGTGATTGTAGTCTATAAGAATTATCAAATATCACCGATCTGTAAACTAAGCTAAGCTAAGCTACGCGAATGAGACGTGATGTGATTCAGCAGTCTTTATTACTTGTTTGCGCACATGAATATACATATGTGTGTGTGTGCACGACTGTTAGGATACAACAGTGTGTGTATGTGTGCGCAATTGTTGCAAGGAGGGGGGAAAAACACAACGCTGCACAGCTCCGTTGATGGGACTTGGCTAATTAGCGGCTAGCACTCATTACAGTCTGTCTACTGAGCTCAGCCCCTCTCCAACACATCAGCTTTGCTAAATAGACAGCGTTAGCCCCCATCTTTTGGGATTTCAGATTATAATTATCCAAATAGTATTTTCTCATCCTGAATACTAAATTGAGATGATTTTGTTCTAACTATGTTTCTTCTATACAGGCCAGCACCTCACATACTACCAGCGGAAAATCTGTGATGATAGATGATAGATTCTGCATGTCAGACTGACCCACCGAAGCTGCGTACTGTATTTGTTTTGGGTTCAATTAACCGTTGATTTTGACAATAAAGTTCCGACAGTTTATATAAAATGTGTCATGATTATTCATGTTTGATGGGTAAAGTATATGCAGATTTCAAAAGCAAAAGGTTGTGTGTGGACTTTTTTTGTCATCAACAAATGGGTGTGTTATGCCATTGCTGTGTAGTATATAATATAATAGTAACGCCATCTACAATGACAGAATGAAATGAAAGATTGCATAAAACCATATACACCAGTATTTATTTTCATGAACAATATTAGCATACGTTTTACAAATTCGCATACGCTCGTGCCGGGGGACGTGCCTCACCCCCCTCTTCTGCAGGGGGGCGTGGTCAGCTGCAGCTCATTTGCATTAAAGCTACTTCAGCCCTTGCAAAAACAGGGCTGGAATAGAGCAAATAGAGCGAAATGAGGCATGGCTAAAATGCATGATCTGTTTGGTATTTTGAAAAAAAACCTTCACAGACATGTTTTATATAGGTATGGCCCTACAATATATTTTCCAAATATAGCATGATAGGTCCACTTTAAATTAAAAAAAAATGCAAACAAACAAGTGAAATGAACTAAATTGCTGAATTGCTTTTAATTCACTGGCAGGAGCGACAAGTGAGGAGGAGCAAAAAGTTAACAACGAGGGAGAGATTGAACAAAGAGAAAGAGTAGAGGACAGAGAGAGTAATGAACAGGAAGAAGACAGAGAGACTAAAGAAGATGGAAGAGAGGGTGCAGGTTATGGAAAGGAGAGAGACATGGAAAATGAATGTTGACAATGTTGTGTGATCATTTTAGCCTCTTCTGCATGTCCAGATCATTAATAGTAACAATCAACTGATTCTTATGCATTTCAAAAATAATTGATGCTGCAGCCCACTGACATGATTTGAAATCAATATATTATCCAATTTGTGACCCCCCACAGGACTTAAAAAGCACCTAACTAGATCATGAAAATCCCCAAAATCCCCCGAACCCCCCTAGCATGTTTGGACCTCGGTATTTAGGAAATCCTGGATACAGCCCTGCTTGTGTTACACTATGCAGTAAGCAGCTGTTATAAATTAACTAAAATAAGTTGAATCTACTAACCCGATGAATCGTTTTTTAGCAGGTCTCAGGCTCGAAAATGACATTCCCAGAACAAATGACTATATCTTCACTTCTAAAAGGGGTAAATTAATAATCTTTTTTCTCAAAGCAATAATAAACCTGTGAGTTCGATGTAGAAAAGTCAGAATCAATATAGAATTTTTTTATTTTAAAGTCAATTCAGATTGAACATAGTAAAGAAATGTAAATTATAGTGTCTGTCCAAAAAAAAAACATTACCTAGAAAACCACCCTTGAATGATGGGATAGTAGACTAAAACCTTTAGGAATCCAAATTATAACATATAATAAGTACCCTGTATCAAGATTGATGCAAAACAAGTGACATTTGACCTTTTTAGAGAAGTTTAGCAAAACAAACCCCACCTCTGGGGTCATAGAGAGCCGAAGTCCCTCCCTTTCCGGTGGAACTCATGGGACCTTATTTCGGAAAAATTATGTATTCAAGTCAATGGCGAGAGAAAACTTATCTTTCGATCCCGTTTGAATTGTGCCATGAATTACAGAGCTATTGAAATATATGATGTTTGTCAATCTTAAAAAATCATTTTGGCGATTAGGCCCCGTTGTGCAGGAAGTATCGGGAAGGTAGAACCGATCCGATGAAACCCCCCTGGGTCTAGACACTGGTGGTGGTGAATGGATAGTTGGGTCGGTCTGAAGAGGAGTGGTTTAGCTTGATCCTGGATTCAGAGGGACAGGAGGTGAAAAGGGGGTGGAGGAGGGTTGCGCCGATTAACCTGGAATGAGAGCTGTCAGAGAGGAGAGCAGATTTAAAAGGTTTGACAGAGCGCTATGATAGGCTCTTGGGAATAGAGCGAAGTGATTGGTTAAGCTGAAGAGTGATGCCCCCAGTCACTTATTGAGAGGAGAGAGAGTAATAACATGGGAATAGAAATACATGAATGAGTAGAGACGGTCTTCCTGGTTGAACTTGCGCTGAGCTCCATTTCAATCAGGAGAGACGGTTTTGATGTAATAATAATACATATTTATTGCGCAGATGCACAAATGAATGCAATGGTAATTTTGGCGATTAGGCCCCGTTGTGCAGGAAGTATCATTCGGGAAGGTAGAACCGATCCGATGAAACCCCCCAAAATGAAATAGTATTATGGAATGAAATGTACGGGTTTCTTACCATATGGGCTGAATGCAGAGATCTATGGGATATGATGAGAGTAATACAGGAGGAGAGAAGAAGAGTTTATTGAATAGCATATCATTAAGAGTGGAGTTACTCTAAAGGAACGGACCTTCAGCTCGTTAGAGCCGAACGATGACACATGAATTAGAGCCTGGCTCGACACCGAGCCAGGCCCTGGTCGAGGATAAAGCATGAAGGGACACATGAATGTATAAGATGGCTGAGATGCATGGAATGCACATGGGGTTTTAGCAGGGGAAGGAGACTCGGAATATATATTGGGCTTAGAGTAAGTGCATGGAATGCACATGGGGTTTTAGCAGGGGAAGGAGACTCGGAATATATATTGGGTTTAGAGTAAGTGCATGGAATGTACATGGGGTTTTAGCAGGGGAAGGAGACTCGGAATATATATTGGGCTTAGAGTGCATGGAATGCCATGGGGTTTTAGCAGGGAATGGTGAAATGAATATTAATCGGCTATGAGTGCATGAAATGCAAGGGAGTTAAACATGAGCTGGGCTGGGGCGTAGGCCTACTATGATGCATGGATGATCTGATCATATCCTGACTTGACACAAGCCCAGACCCTTCCAGTCGAATGCATGAATGACACATGGGTTTTAGCATGAGAATGAGACAATGATGAGTATACAGAATTGAAATGCACATGGTTGTTAGCATGGGAAATGAGACATGGAATGTCACGCGTGTTTATGTACAGACAGTGACATGATGAGTGATATGCCGATATGCTATAAAACACCACCACCAGTTATATGCATATTTACCCGAGTTAAGGCTTGAGAGATTATTGGATTGCCAGCACGGAGCTGATGTCCGGGCAAGTGAAGGAGGTGTAGGCAGCGCAATGCACGTGAGCCGTTAGCTTGAGTACGGTGATGCATGGATATCGTATCCCGGCTTATAAACAAGCCTGAGACGCAGACCCTTCCTGGGTCAGATGCATGAAATGCGCATGAGCATGAACAGTGACTTTGAATGAAGTGCAAACGCACGGCATGAATATGACATTGCACTTAGGTAATTAATGAAACATGACCTGTGAACTAGG